CCCCACTCCCTCTAGCATGTAAGCTCACTGAGCACGGCCCTCAATCCTCTGTTACTGTGTCAATATACCCCACTCCCTCTAACATTTAACCTCACTGAGCAGGGCCTCAATCCCTCTGTTACTGTCACTATACCCCACTCCCTCTATTATGTAAACTCACTGAGTAGGCCCCTCAATCCCTCTGTTACTGTGTCACTATACCCCACTCCCTCTAGCATGTAAGCTCACTGAGCAGGGCCTCAATCCCCCTGTTACTGTGTCACTATACCCCACTCCCTCTAGCATGTAATCTAATTGAGCAGGCCCTCAATCACTCTGTTACTGTCACTATACCCCACTCCCTCTAGCATGTAAACTCACTGAGCAGGCCCTCAATCCCTCTGTTCCTGTGTCACTATCCCCCACTCCCTCTAACATGTTTACTCACTGAGCAGGGCCCTCAATCACTCTGTTACTGTGTCACTATACCCCACTCACTCTAGCATGTAAACTCACTGAGCAGGCCCTCAATCCCTCTGTTGCTGTGTCACTATACCCCACTCCCTCTAACATGTAAGCTCACTGAGCAGGGCCCTCAATTCCTCTGTTACTGTGTCCCTTTTCCCAACTCCCTCTAGCATGTAAGCTCACTGAGTAGGGTCCTCAATCCCTCTGTTACTGTGTCACTATACCCCACTCCCTCTAGCATGTAAGCTCACTGAGCACGGCCCTCAATCCTCTGTTACTGTGTCAATATACCCCACTCCCTCTAACATTTAACCTCACTGAGCAGGGCCTCAATCCCTCTGTTACTGTCACTATACCCCACTCCCTCTATTATGTAAACTCACTGAGTAGGCCCTCAATCCCTCTGTTACTGTGTCACTATACCCCACTCCCTCTAGCATGTAAGCTCACTGAGCAGGGCCTCAATCCCCCTGTTACTGTGTCACTATACCCCACTCCCTCTAGCATGTAATCTAATTGAGCAGGCCCTCAATCACTCTGTTACTGTCACTATACCCCACTCCCTCTAGCATGTAAACTCACTGAGCAGGCCCTCAATCCCTCTGTTCCTGTGTCACTATCCCCCACTCCCTCTAACATGTTTACTCACTGAGCAGGGCCCTCAATCCCTCTGTTACTGTGTCACTATACCCCACTCCCTCTAACATGTAAGCTCACTGAGCAGGGCCCTCAATTCCTCTGTTACTGTGTCCCTTTTCCCCACTCCCTCTAGCATGTAAGCTCACTGAGTAGGGTCCTCAATCCCTCTGTTACTGTGTCACTATACCCCACTCCCTCTAGAATGTAAGCTCATTGAGCAGGGCCCTCAATCCCTCTGTTCCTGTGTCACTATACCCCACTCCCTCTAACATGTTAACTCACTGAGCAGGGCCCTCAATCCCTCTGTTACTGTGTCACTATACCCCACTCCCTCTAACATGTAAACTCACTGAGCATGGCCATCAATCCCTCTGTTACTGTGTCACTATACCCCACTCCCTCTAGCATGTAAACTCACTGAGCAGGGCCCTCAATCCCTCTGTTACTGTGTCACTATACCCCACTCCCTCTAACATGTAAACTCACTGAGCAGGGCCTCAATCCCTCTGTTACTGTGTCACTATATCCCACTCCCTCTAACATGTAAACTCACTGAGCAGGGCCCTCAATCCCTCTGTTACTGTGTCACTATACCTCACTCCCTCTAACATGTAAACTCACTGAGCAGGCCCTCAATCCCTCTGTTGCTGTGTCACTATACCCCACTCCCTCTAACATGTAAGCTCACTGAGCAGGCCCTCAATCCCTCTGTTACTGTGTCACTATACCCCACTCCCTCTAACATGTAAGCTCACTGAGCAGGGCCCTCAATTCCTCTGTTATTGTGTCCCTTTTCCCCACTCCCTCTAGCATGTAAGCTCACTGAGTAGGGTCCTCAATCCCTCTGTTACTGTGTCACTACACCCCACTCCCTCTAACATGTAAGCTCATTGAGCAGGGCCCTCAATCCCTCTGTTGCTGTGTGTCAAACTCATCAGGTTTAATACGTGTCTGTTAGTCTACCCATTGTACAGTGCTACGGAATTTGTAGGCGCCTTATAAATAATAATAATCATGAGCTATAGTCGTCTGGGTGCCTATAGTGTCCCTTTAAGCTAAAGTTGTTTTGGTACCTATAGTGCCCCGTATATCTATGGTAAATAACTTTATGTGCCTGCTTTATGTAGTACACTGTCTCCGTGAACACTCTGACACAATAAACACTGGTAAACATACAATTTAAAGTAAATTAAATCTTTTCACCAGGTTATACCGTATATATTTGAGTATAAGCCGCCTTTTTCAGCACTTTTTCTATGCTGAAAAAGCCCCCCTCAACTTATACTCGAGTGAGGGCAGTGAGATCGGGAGAAGATGGCACCGGGCAGATGGAAATTGTAATGACAGTCTCCAGACAGTTTTCTATCTGTACCATGGCAGGTGCCCGTGCTGCTGGGGTCGGGGCTGGCTGAGTACTCCGCTCACACCGTACTGCACACTGGGGACATGGACAGCTTCTGGGCAGGGTGCTCTGACTGTGGCTGCTCTGTGCAGGAAAGCCCAGGGATGCGCTGAGGCCTGTTTATCGGGTGGGAGAACCTGCTGCACAGCAAGAGACCAGTCGGTGGGTGTATCTGCTACCTATTATCAATGTGCTGTGTAAAATATATTTGGTTCATATTATGTGTGCATTATATGTGTGCATATTATGTGTGCAAGTGAATACATATGACGTAGAAAGCACGAAGGAAAAACTGTGTGTATACAGTCCCAGAAAGGTTTGTACACATCTATAACCCGAGTTTTCAGGAAGCTTCCTTCAGGATTTGTGCTGAGATTACGAGGTGACGGTGTCATTGTTTTCAACTAAACCCTCACATACTACATTATGAAAAGCAATCTCATTCTATCTTTTCATTACACCAAATGTATGTGTATGTATGTATGTATGTCTCTGTATCCATGTATGTATGTATGTATGTATGTATGTCTCTGTATCCATGTATGTATGTATGTATGTCTCTGTATCCATGTATGTATGTGTGTATGTCTCTGTATCCATGTATGTATGTATGTATGTATATCTCTGTACGTACGTATGTATGTCTATGTATCCATGTATGTATGTATGTATGTATGAATGTATGTCTCTGTATGTGTATGTATGTAAATCTCTGTATGTATGTCTCTGTATCCATGTATGTATGTATGTATTTATGTCTCTGTATGTGTATGTATGTATGCAGGGCCGCCATCAGGGCATGACATCCATAATGGTTGTCATGGGCCTGGCGGTCCTGGGGGGTCCGGACTGCTCAGGTCGTCCCGGGCCCCACATTCAGGCCTTTTAATGTAAACACGGCAGCACTGCAGCACTGGTGTTAGTTAACATGGCAGATCATATGGGTGGGGCATTGTGATGTCACATGTAGGGCGGCAAACTTTACTTTTGCCTAGGGCGGCAAAAATCCTTGCACCGGCCCTGCAGACACTGCATCCCTGTGGGCGGACTCAGGGGGGTGCCGCACTTTGGGTGGACTCGGGTGCAGGCACCGGGGGGCCCAGACCTTGAGCTGTGTCAGGGGCCCCAACATTTCTGATGGCAGCCCTGTATGTATGTATGTCTCTTTATGTATGTATGTATGTATGTCTCTGTATCCATGTATATATGTATGTATGTATGTCTCTTTATGTATGTATGTATGTATGTCTCTGTATCCATGTATGTATGTATGTATGTATGTCTCTGTATGTGTGTATGTCTCTGTATCTATGTATGCATGTATGTATATCTCTGTAAGTATGTATGCATGTGTGTATGTATGTATGTATGTCTCTGTATCCATGTATGTATGTGTGTCTCTGTATGTCTCTGTATGTATGTATGTCTCTGTATCCATATATGTATGTATGTCTCTGTATCTATGTATGTATGTATATCTCTGTATATATGTATGCATGCGTGTATGTATGTATGTATGTATGTATGTCTCTGTATGTATGTACGTCTCTGTATCCATGTATGTATGTATATGTCTCTGTATGTATGTATGTTTGTCTCTGTATCTATGTATGTGTGTATTTATGTCTCTGTATGTATGTCTCTGTATGTATGTATGTCTCTGTATCCATGTATGTATGTATGTATGTATGTACATATCTGTATGCATGTATGTATGTATGTCTCTGTATGTATATATGTATGTCTCTGTATCCATGTATGTCACTGTATGTATGTATGTCTCTGTATCCATGTAGGTATGTATGTATGTCTCTGTATGTATGTATGTATGTCACTGTATCCATGTATGTATGTATGTCTATGTATGTATGTGTCTGTATCTATGTATGTATGTATGTATGTATGTATGTCTCTGTATATATGTATGTATATCTCTGTATCCATGTATGTTTTTACCAGTAGCTGCTGCATTTCCCACCCTAGGCTTATACTCGAGTCAATACGGTTTCCCATTTTTTGGGGGGTAAAATTAGGTGCCTCGGCTTATATTCGGGTTGGCTTATACTCGAGTATATACGGTACATAGCTTTTTGATTATATTTAAACCAAATGATGAGGTATTATAATAACGGTAGTGGCTGTACACATAATGTAATATCATTATCACAACTGAAGTAACATAATATGGGAGACTTTATAGGAATTGACATTACTACAGTATAAAACGTGGAGACGATTCCTACCATGCACAAAATAGCCACCATTCGCATGATGTGATGTGTAATAATAAATGAGGCAATTGTGACTCTAGTTTACAGACTGGCACACCATATATATACATATACCTGGATAATAATGTGTGTATTAGTAATGTATATAATCAGAGGCGGCTCTCTAATTAGGCGATTTAGGCGGCCGCCTAAGGCCTCGCGCTTGCTGGGGCCTCGCGGCCGCCTAAATCGCCTTGAGGCAGACTGAACTGTCGGGTCCTCGGTCAATGACCGAGGACCCGACAGTGAGAGGGGGCCCGGCGGCTTGCCCAGTATGCCGCCGGGTGGCCCCTCCACATGGTCTGCCCACAGGGAGAGCCAGCCTCTGATCTGCAGCTCCGCCGAGTGCAGAGCTGCAGATCATGTAATAAGGTTCTCGCGAGCACACAGAGCGTTGCCGCGGGTTACCACGGCAACGCTCTGACAGGCGCTCGCGAGAACAAGGTCTGCAGCTCTCGCGGAGCTGCAGACCGAAGTCATCCCACCGGACCACCAGGGACTTCAACCACTGGACCACCAGGGAACTATATTGCAATACAAGGTATTTTAGTGTGTGGAGGCTTGTCACAGCCTCCACACACACTGCCCTCCCACCCTCACTGTCCCCAGCACTGGCCTCCCACCCTGACTGTCCCCAGCACTGCCCTCCCACCCTCACTGTCCCCAGCACTGCCCTCCCACCCTGACTGTCCCCAGCACTGCCCTCCCACCCTCACTGTCCCCAGCACTGCCCTCCCACCCTCACTGTCCCCAGCACTGCCCTCCCACCCTCACTGTCCCCAACACTGCCCTCCCACCCTCACTGTCCCCAGCACTGCCCTCCCACCCTCACTGTCCCCAACACTGCCCTCCCACCCTCACTGTCCCCAGCACTGCCCTCCCACCCTCACTGTCCCCAACACTGCCCTCCCACCCTCACTGTCCCCAACACTGCCCTCCCACCCTCACTGTCCCCAACACTGCCCTCCCACCCTCACTGTCCCCAGCACTGCCCTCCCACCCTCACTGTCCCCAACACTGCCCTCCCATCCTCACTGCCCTCCCATCCTCACTGCCCACCTACATACACTGCCCCAACATTGCCCTTCCACCCTCACTGCCCCCCACCCACACTGCCCCAACACTACCCTCCCACCCCCACTGCCCTGCCTCCCACACTGCGCTGCCCCAACACTGCCCTCCCACCCACACTGCCCCGCTCCCCAAATACCCCGCCACCCACATACCCTGCCCCCACACTGCCCTGCCAGTCACATACCCTGCCCACCACATACACTGCACCCACGTTGCCCTGCCACCCACATACCCTACCCACCCCATACCCTGACCATCACATATACTGCCCCCCACACGGATGACCACCACACACACTGCCCCTAATACCCTTCCCCCACTCTGACCACCACATACAATGCCCCCCACACTAACCATCACACTGACCACCATAGACACTGTCCCCCACATTGACCACCACATACCCTGACCGCCACAATGACCACCACATAACCTGCCCCCCACATTAACCACCACATAACCTGCCCCCCACAGTGACCACCACATACCCTGCCCCCCACAGTGACCACCACATACCCTGCCCCCCACACTGTCTCCCACACACTCTGCCCCACACAGTTTCTCACACAAAACGCCCCACACTGTCTCCCACACACTGCCACCCACACGGTCACACACCCTGCCCTCCTACACTGTCATACACACTGCCCCCTCATGCTGTCACACACCCTGCCCTCACTACACTGTGTCCCACACACCTTGCCCTCCCACACTGTAACACACCCTGTCCCCCCACACTGTCACACACTGCCCCCCACACTGTCACCATCCTCCACACTGTCATCTTCCTCCTCACTGTCACCCACTCACACCCTGCCCCCAAAACTGTCACATTCCTCCACACTGCTCTCTCACACAGTTACCCTTTCACACACTTGAACCCCATATTGTCAGCCCCCAACACTGTCACCAATACATACAGTGGTACACATACACCCCTCCCACACACTGCCCCTGCACACACTGTCACCCTTTCCAACACTGCCTCCCACACTCTCACCTACCCACGTCACAATTCCACACACATACAGCCACCCCCCACACTGTCACCCCCCACATGCTGTCATGCCCCCTTCACCCAGCCTTGCTCACATTAACCTCTCCTAATCTTGTCGCTCTCACCCTCTCCATCCATACCACAATTACCGGCCCTCGCTCTTCTACAATCACCCTATCACTTTAATCCCCCTAATGCTATCACACTAATTTTCTCTCATACTGTCACACTCACCCCCAACCCTGTCATACTCATCCTTTTTCACATTAACCCTTTCACTTGTGCCCAACCATGCCACACTCAACCTGTCACATAATCCTGTCCGACTCACTTTCCCTCGCCTTGTCACACTCCCTCCTCCAGCCGTGCAACACATAACCAATTCAACTCCTTCAACCGTTCCACACTCACTCCAACAGTGAATACTAGCTCTCTGTATCCAGCGCTGCAAGCCTGTCATACATTATAACTACAGCTCATGATACACACGATGCAACCCCTATATGTTTTTTTTTTTATGAGTGTTAGTGGGGGGGGCCTCTTGTTTGAGTTTCGCCTAAGGCCTCATAAAGTCTAGAGCCGCCACTGCTGGGGGGGGAATGACAAGACTTGACAGTCGTAGCTCTGCTCAATGTCACACTTTGTTAGGCAAAGGAAAAATACTGAGACAACATTTTTTTTAGTGAAATTCAAACACATACTCAGTCAGTCAGAGTATGTTATAAAAATTCTATATCCTGATATACTCATTTTGTAGGGCGGTAACAGTGCAGCTTTAAATACATTAAACAAAGTGTCTAATTATGCCCAACTGGTCATGGTAAATGTTTGTGTTTTCTACTGTAGGCTTATCATTCCGTGATTAGATAGAAGTTCTTCTGTATAAAGGGCCACAGAGCAGCTTTAGCCTGAAACATTAACTTTCTTTATCATACTATAAATGTCAGTGCTAAAGCCTTCCTCTTCTTATTTACATAGAATTATATGGCTGTACCTTTTATTCTGGGTACTCTAAAAAAAATAATATGGCTTCAAAATAAGTTTCTCCTAAAACCAACACATATTTATCAACTCTTAACTTAAGTACATATTATCCTAAAACATTTTATTTCTATTAAACTTTCTTCCACAAATTTCTTTATGCATATCCATTTTTGTTAGTAGGTGGTAGTGATTCATTTTTAAAACTAACCTTCTGCAATATTTTGTTGCTAACATTATATCCAGTGCTTATTCTCGCCAAGGAGATTTAGTGAAAGCACTACAAGTAAAATATACACACAGGATGTTCCCTGGAGCTATAAAAATCTGTTAATCTCTACTTGCTCTTTGTCTAAGTGTTGCTACGGATTTATGGTTTACATATTTCATATTTAAAGTTTTAAAAAAAGACAGAGCGAGGGATGTGGAGATAAATAACTGGGTCAGTCCGCTATGATATAAGGCAGAGTCACATATTGCACATCTTACGGTACAAAGGAACAAACATGCTGTTTTCTCAAATGTTATTCTGTTTAGTACAACACATTCTCTCTACACCAGCATAAACATGGATTATGATGGTCTGTGCCTTGTAAGTATAAACATCACAGGGTCCTTCCATACGAGAGAAGAAAGAGTTCTGATACTGCCCTTTTTAATCAATGTAGTTAATATTATTGTGTTTGGTGGAGACTGCTTGGTTCTGGAAGCCTTGAGTCTTGAGTTTTGAGTTTTATATTGTCCTGTATGCCACTGATGCCTGTATGCCCTGATTGCTATTGCTAGATTATTATTAGGGATTAAAAGTTAAAAAAACAAAACTGATGTGTCACTGAAAATCTCCTACTTTATGACTTCTTCAAATGGACAGGACATTACTATAATCAAACCCAACCAAACACCGCACGACCACCATAGGACGCAGACTACGACCGCGTGCACGGTGCACCACTTAGGGTGGACAGAGACCCCTGGGGGGAATAGAGGGGGAAACACCAGTCCACAGAATGTTGCGGAACCCCACTGCGACCACAAGCCATGGCAAACCTCTAGACCGCAGCACCTCTAACCACGCAGGGAACCCCTCCCGAACCACATTTACTACAACAGCACCAGACAGGCGGACACATAAAAATTCAAGCAGACGGGACCCAGATGAACTGAGAAACAGCCCGATACCAGGACCCCCGACACTCCAGGACAATACAAACTCGAGGACCCATCCCCACAAGGGGGGTCACCACCCAAAGAGGAAAATGTATGTCTGTATACCAGCACACCTGTATTGTACAGAAAATCGTACAACTATGATGAATACCGTGCACTAACCCACCTCTTTTTTCTGTAAAACCTTTACATTGTACAAAACACATAATAATAATAATAATAATAATAATAATAATAATAATAAAAATGGACAGGACAGCAGCAGCACACAGCTACCCTGATCCAAAAAGACTTGTGCAGCATCCATCACTTCCTAGCATGGGTGCGCACCAGGTGTTATGTGAATATTTATAGTTATTGCTGTAACACTGCAGCAAAGGTTAAGTAGTTAGAAAACAATAATATGGGAATACATTTTAGGTATACGTTTGCAAGCAATTTGGCTAGTATAATGTACTGGCAAAATTGTAAACCCATATTTGATTTTAAAGTGAATTACAGTCAATTGTAAACCCATAATTAATTTAAACCTTAATTGCAGTATGTAATGTACTCTCTCACAAGTTCCTGAGTTGGATGAAGACTTGTCTCACAAGTAGATTTCTACCATCTCTACAACTTTTCAGGGCAGGACTAAATACAAGGATGACACCTCTATAGTGCCAGCATAGTGTTAGCATAGTGTGCAGATATACAGACGAGAAAAAAACGCTTGAATTAAAAATGGTTTCTCCAATGTAAATAAGTGCTTTATGACTTAAAAATAAATTAAATGTCTGCTTTATAAAAAAAATAATAAAAAACCAGCGCAGTAGCATACAACAAACATTTCAACCTCATTACCATGATACCATGATATCTCACAAAAGGCCTGTTAATGGAATTAATTAATTAATTAAAATTAATTAATGTTGACCTTATGTAGTTTCACAGTTGCACAAAATGAAGACGTCCCTTTGTTTATTTTGATGTCATATGATTGCACACCTCCATATTGAATATATCATCTGGCCATCTGGAGTGGGTACCAGGCAAAAGAATTTGAAGAATGCTTAGTCATTGTTATCCAAAATTCTAGACAACAGACTCTTCCATGACTTGTTTAAAAATTCCAATAGTTTAAAACAAGCACAGCACAACTTGGTCACCACACCACAAAAAGGGACATAAGAAAAAAAAATTCCATAAATCCAAACATACATCCTGAGCCGAATTACCCATTAAGCAGCGTAGGTAGCCACCGTGACACCAGGCTCAGACTTTGACTCAGTCTGTGAGGGGGTCCACCCTGAGCCGGCAGAGAGATCAAAAGACCTCCCTGCTCGGCCTTGCACTCCCTTACTTTGTCGAGGAAGATTAAAATAAAACAAAAAAGCCACAACACCAGACATGACAGGAGAGTTTTATTCTATCTATGTGGATCTGGCAACGTTTTCGACTTGTGAAAGTCTTTCACAAACACCATTACAGGTCGAAACATTGCGAAGTGACTTTGATGGGAATTTTATTTTTAATGTTGCTGGGGATCATAGTAAGTAGGCTCTATTAGCATGCACCTTGCAACTTGCAGCTATTCTCCTACCTCTTTCTTATACTTAGTCCAGGGAGGGTTATGGTCTGCACCAATAACACGTGCAGATCACTTTAAGGGTTCTCTCATGGACCCCCAGTGCATCTTAATAATTCTGAGCACTACAGCCAGCTGTGAAAGTGCACTAGTTCACCATGGATAAAACCTCTCCTGCCAAAAGGTAAGCAGGAGGCGGTATATGGAAAATAAATATCACATTCACACTCAGTCTCCTCTCCCACACAAAATTCAGCCACCACACACAAAATTCAACCAGCATGCTCAAGCATACTTAGCTCCCCCCCGACATACTGCTCTCAGCCTCCTTTTCACAGTCACACACAACACTCAGTCTCACACACACACATACAACATTCATCCACCACACATGCCACCTCCTTTCTCAGAACTGGGCTCTAGGAGGGGGCACCCTAAAGTGTTGAATTGGGTAAGTAGAAATTTTGAGCGAGTCCTTGTTAAAAAGTACCTAACGTTTAAAAAAACAGTTCTCTGAAACTCCATAACTGATTCATAAATCCTGAAAAAAAATACATTTCACAATAATTGCAGTGTATTGTAGTTGTAAAGGTGGTAGGTGATTGTCCCTAAATATTTACCTTTTAAATATGAGACAGATTGCAAGCTTCTTGCTTGCATCGTGGACTCTAGCCCCTCCATACTGACATCCTAATGGGGAAATCAAGCATTTTTACTGAGCAATCTAATTACTTGTGCACTGTTATTGGCGTTATTCAAACTGTGAGACTGTAGATTTATGTGTGCAGTCAGCTAAGCTCCTAAAAGTTGAGACACTATAGTGTCAGGATTTGTAAAATGCGTCTTACTACAGTGCTAAAAACACATCAGGTGGTTAGTTCCCCTTTGCCCCTGTTACAAATGGTTAAAACACACCTTTATTCCAGCGCCGTGTGGATCTACTGTGGCAGGCTCTGTCTTCTTGGCTGAGATCCTCAAAATTGACAATCACAGCCAATCCAATGCTTTCCAATAGAAAAGTATTGTGAGGTTATTGCGCATGTGTAGCAAAACACAGCACTGCACCAGTCTGTATATCCTCATAGAGATGCATTGAATCAATTCGTCTCTGTGAGGAATGTTTAGCGCCACCATGCAGAGTGTGGAGATGCTGAACGTCAGTGTTGCACATGGAGTGACAGCATTGTTTACATTAAAAGGCATTGTTTACATTAAAAGGCCTGCAGTGACATACTGTACAGACCAGAACATCAAGCTGCAGTTGTTTTGGTGACTACAGTGTCCCTTTAAGGAGAATGATATTGTTATTACTTGTTATGATACATTAGACTGAGTAATAGTAACAGAATGCTTTATCAAAGTATCAAAAAGTAGCATTAACTCTTTGTCAGATAATTGAGCAATTATTTGTCATATTTCAGAGTTGAACATTGGTCATATGAACAGAGGTAAACAAACATTAAATCCAGTACAAGAATGTTAACATGATTTCTTAGGACCATGCAAATCCACATCCTGTTCAGTTCTAGCTTGCTGAAGCAATACTTGCTATGATAAAACGTGCTGCCGTTAATATTTCTGGGGATCATCACAAGACAGCCATACTGTATCATTATTTTTTTTCTATTACGAAATGCAAGAGCTGGGTCAGCTTGCACTCATTATAGTTTGGACAGACCTGCACATTTTCTAAATATTAGTGAAGGCATCTAATTTCATTTACTTTAGTTATAGATATATATGAAATATTAACCCCTTCACGTTCCCAAAAGCAGTTATCCCTGCCTTTAACCCTCTGAGTATTAAATGTGTGAGCAAATACATATTCGGCACTTAAAATAAAATAAAAAATACAAGTATATTTTATTTTTTTGATTTTAGCATTATGACTGCAGTCACATTCATCTACTAAAAATGATCTCCTATGGAGGAGGGGATTGACAACATAAATCTTGACCTCACTCAATAATTAGCTCAAGCAGGGTCTTAAAAACCAGATGAATTACATACTGTTCCAATCACAATGCCATTTGTTAAAACGCACCCTATAACTTTTTTTGTGGAGTCTGAAATCTTGTTAATTTGTTATACATTCAAAGAATGCAGGAAGTGGAAACATCAGCCACAGCTTTAATTGGGGACTTACTTACACTGCTGACCTATTCTATAATAACACAGTTGTATTGCATTAAACTGATGGTGCATTTATTATTAGAATAAAACAAACAAGTGAAATAGCAAGATAAGCTTTTCGGAAACCATTGAAAAGTAGACTATAATAATTTAAAAATGGCAGTGACTGACTCTGACAATATTACCTCCAGTGTGTGCTTTATTGCGATCTTGTCTAAAAGATCTGCTTTCTTATAGTTAAACTCGTATAAAATAAAAAACTGCGATTATGCATTCCTGGTTTTTTTGGTGTTACCAAAGCGTCAGTAATTAAAAAAACAAAAATGTATACATTTAACAACAAATATTGTTGTAACTAAACAAAAATATATATATATATAAAAAACTTATATTTTTATATTTATTGAGTCCACATAAAGTATGAAAAAAGTTAATATAAAATACAAAATAACCCATTATTTAAATTCTTATTTTTTTTTTTTTTTTTTTTATTTGTTTCAGTAAAAGCAAATGCAATTCTTTTCTTTATAGATGGATGAAATTAATTTAATCCGATGCTGGTCAAGATATAATGCTAAGATTCAAACTCTACAGCAAAAGCTGGAACTTCCATCACCGCAGAATGCTAAGGTAATAAATCTGATATTTGTGCAAAATGACCAGAGAGGGCAAAAAAATGACATTTGATTAATCTATCAAGTTAAAAGTAATAGTACTAATAATAGACAATGGTACGCCCTAAATTGTAGTAACTGCAGAGTAACAGTGCAACATATTTGAAGCACTTATATTTTAAATATGACTTATATGATACTGTTTTGTATAGTGGTGGTGCTTTTTAATTAAATTGTTGGAAAAAAAATTGTTTTTTTTTCTTCTCAAAAAGTCCTTCTCTGGTCATTTAGAGATTTTTTTGCTACCTGGCTTTAATCACAGCCAGGACGAATCTGGAACTTATTTAGCAAAACATGTAACCTCCAGTCATATGCCATTAGACTAGCCCATTGGAAATAGGCCTAAACTATTTGGTGTGCCATACCCAATTATAAAGGTGAGTCAGAAAAACCACAAATGCCAGGTGTCAGGTGGCTTGTCATATATTAATATATCAGAGAATTGTTTTTCTAGATAAGGTATCAGCAGGGTTTTGGCATGGGTGAAATAATCATACCAACTTCTTTGTGGAGATACATTTTTAGATATATCTAAATAAATTTTAAAGACTGTACCTAGAACAATTCCAGTCTAGGTTTGGCCTAAACACAAGATAAACTAGGCAGATGTTAAGGCAGCACGCTGATGCAGGTATTGCACTGATTTGACAATAACAATTATAAATGATTGTATATATTGCTCATGGAGGTTTGAGATCCACACCAAAGTCATGTCTTGTACTAACCCACATTACCTTCTACGGTGAACATCTCTTTTTCTTCTTTATGGGTACAGAACATATTTACACACCTACTTTCAGACTGGACACCAGCGCTGTATCTACGGTGAGGCTGGCCAAGGCATTTGCCTTGGGCGGCACTTTCAGGGGGGCGGCAAAAAAAGCTGCCCCTCCCCAAATGCCCTGGCACATGCTTTGCCAGCCTCTTGTCCTGGGGGGCCCAAGAGCTGGCCAGTTGGCTATTTTGGGCTCCCCCAAGGCTGGCAAGTGCTGATAATTGAGGCGGGCGGCAAGGGAGCCCTATCCCCTGAGCTCTCTGCTGCTCAGCTCGCGCACACCGCAGTAATGCCAGACCTGGAATATGACATCAGTCCGGCTTCAGCATCACTAAGAGGCACGTGAGGGAGCTGAGCAGGAAGATCACTGCTCCCTCACCGCCTGCACTGTACGCCCACATGCCAGCTACTCAGCCCAGCAGCCCCACTGGACCCCAGGGACCGGACACCAGCCGCTCAGACCAGCAGCCCCTCTTGACCCAAGGGACCGCAAACTAGCCGTTCAGCCCAGCAGCCCCACTGGACCCCAGGGAAATAGAAACTCCATGCCAGCACTCCCAAAGGTAGGGAGGCTGGGTGGAGTGAAATAAAAAAAAAAAAATTAATTGTGTGTGTGTATGTGTGTTTGTATGTGTGTCTGTCAAACAGTATGTGTGTTTGGCAGTGAGAGTGCATATATGTCTGTCAAAAAGTATGTGTGTTTGTCAGAGAGTGTGTATGTGTGTCTGCCGGTGAATGTGTGTGTCCATCAGCGAATGTGAGTGTGTGTGTCAGTAAGAGTGTGTTTCAGTGAAAGTTTGTGTCGGTTAAACAGTGTGTGTGCCAATGACTGTGTATCGGTCAGTGAATATATGTCAGTGTATGCATCAATGAGGGTGTATGTCTGACAGGCAAAGAGAAATTTAGATATGGGTGGTTGGGGGGTGGAGGGGAGTGCCTGTGTTTTGTCATGCCTAGGTTAACACAAAATTAGCACAAAACCAAAATACACCACTGATGGACACCATGGATTTGTAGTTCACAGAAGATAAAATGTTATTGGGCACTTTAAAAAATAAATAAAAAATTATTCTTTAAATTAAGTTTGCAGTTCTCGCCCCTTTACAAAATTAACTTACACATTTGTTTTTAGGTGCTTGAAGATAAAATAAACCCGAGGTGGGCCAGGTACAATTCTCAAGTACAGACACTTCAGAATAAATTAGGACTCAATTCACACACAATACCAGAGGTAAAGTATCGTGATATCTCCTCTGTATTTTATCATTATTTATAATATATGAAATCTAAAATGGTAGCCTCTTGTTTCTTAACATCAGCATGCGTTGAACTCACAAATTCTACAGATGTTAAAGATTAATCCATCTATTATTCTGCTGTTGGCACCAAGGGACCATTAATATTTTGAGGAGGCAGTATTATTTGCATATTGACAGGTTACATATGGCTTGGATTTTAGACAATGTTGTGATTTAACTAGGATATTGCTACGGTTTTTATTTGTCCCTGACTATTGTTAAAGAAACATAAAAACAACTTTAGTTTTTTTAATCCCAATATCACAAAAAGTTCAGTCTGCAAGGATTGCTATTCAGGAAGAAATAAAAAAAGCGATGGAAGTTTTTAGACCGTGAGCTCATTTGGTCAGGGCCCTCTTTACCTACTGCTCCCGTATGTCAAACATGTTTTGTCAGAATTGTTTGTCTTGGTTTATCTGTTGCACTGCAGAGTATGTTGGCGCTATATAATTAATTGTGATTGTAAGTGCTACTGAGTGCATGGATGCTGATGTAATTTAAAGGAGGCACTTAAGTATTGCCAAACATATATACAATTAATTGAAATGCAGGTTTCTATCATAGGGCACCTGGGTGCCGAGTAATATTTTTATTAGTAACAAACTACTTATGTAGTATTTTCCCAAAGCAGTTATTAAGGGATGCTCTAAGGACCATAACAACTATTGCACACCTTAGTGGTTCTGGTGTCATGAATCTGTCCCATGTAAACAATCAAACCATTACAAAAAACACATACGTAGCTGTTTTGGGTATCCATTGTCCTTCCAGTCTGCCTTGCTATTCTAAAGTTGAACGTCATGCTTACATTAGCCATCCAACTTTAAACCTCATTCCTTGACTGAAAGCCATCAGATGACATTCTCTGACAGTGAATAATGTCTACGTTAGAATGCATTTGTGTAGCAAGGCAGACATAAAGGACCCCTGGTACCTGACTGAGCTAAGTAAAGCTTCGATTTAATTTGTTTGAATCAGCATACAAAAAATTGGAACATGACCAACTTTCAATAACTTACCTTCTGGTTTAAAATTCTGGGAATTTTCTATATTTTGTAGTTAGAATTAAACTGAATGTATTGATTGTCCAGATTGTATTTGCCTTACCCCCACCCACCTTTCCTGTCTTGTTGTTTTCCCAGCATGGCATTGTCCCAGTTTTCCAGGGGCACTTCCAGACCAGTTCAAACTGGCTGTCCTGCCATTCCCTTAAGTTCTCATGTACTCCACAGTCCTTGTTACTGTCTGTCCCCACCCTTCCTTACTCCATTCACACTGCTTGTAATATAATTAAAGGGATAGTATAGTACTAAGACTATAGAGCCATCTGGCTGCCCCCCCCCGCCCCCTAACACCCTCGCAGCCTCTCCGCAGCATATGAAGGGTTAAACAAATCCTTTATTTACTTACCCAAGTCCAGCACCAATGTTCCTTGGCGCTGAGTTGGCACTCCGCCTCCTCCTATGTGGGGGCTAATGCGCATGTTTGGCTGTTTTGCGAGCTACACATGCGCATTATGCTCTCCCCATGGGAAAGCATTACTGCAATGCTATTCTGTGGGGACTTTAACGATGCTCGATATCCTCATGCAGAGTGTGAGGACGTCCAGAATCAGTTAGGCGACCAAAAGTCGCCTAATATGCAGGAAGTGCAGGCAGTCTTAACCCTACAATGTAATTATTGCAGTTTATCCGAAACTGCAATAATTAATATTGCAGCACTCAGGGGGACAGGGACATTGCACTCAGGCCACTTCAATGAGCTGAAGTGGTTTGGGGGCCTCTAGTGTGATTGTTTGCGACCCCAAGTCCCAAGTATTTGTGGGCAAACTTCTGCAGAAGATTTCTCTGTCTGGAAGATCATTGGCACTTATGTTGGATAGTGATGCCAGGAAAGGCTGGCTCTCTGCTATATTTTCCCATAGGAGAAGGGACAAAAGTTGGGCAAAACAGATCTGTCTCCAAAGCCTTAGACCAGACATCCTGTATCTGCTACAGAAAGTATTCCAATCTGACTAAAAAAAAATGTTCATCACAGCGGAAGACACAGGTCCATTTCTGTGGCTGTTCTCTTGCTCTTCTGGGGGATCTCAAGGGTACCTGTATGCCAATGTGAGTTCTGCTCTATTGTTTATCTATACAGTATATTGAAAAGAGCCTGTATCTTATGTTGATATATTAGTTAGGAGTGTTGTAGTACAGATGACATTCAGCATTATTAGGAAGCCCAGGTAACCATTTACTTTCCCTGTGCAAGGGCAAGTTCAACAGCTCATCTGTAAACTGGTCTCCAATTTGCTGCTGGCATCACAGTTGTAGAATTTGGGGAGCAATTCCTAGACAGCCACCTGTAATATAAAAGTAACAATTACAGCTAAAGTCAGTCTAGCTTGGGTAGATGAAAATAATATTAATCCGAAATTTGTATTGTGTAAAAAGCTGATTTATGCACACATTATTTCCAGGAACACTTTAATTGCAAAGGACATGAAACTAGTCTCTTTTATTGCTTTATTTATATTATCCTGATCCGATGGATAATGTAAATAAAAAAACAACATTCTGCATATAAATGGACCCTGTTTGCTATCTTCAGGTGGTAATATTCTAGAAAGCAAAACAACGATCTGTGTTTCTTTTTTCATGCCTCCACTTATACAATATAATTAACAATGATAATGTAAGAACATTCTGAGGAAGGAACACTTAAACACAGATTGACTGGAATAACGTGACTCAGTGAGAGTGGCGCGTGTTCATATTTATTGTGAACTACCATCGAAGTAGAAACTATATAAACATTATACAGTGTCTGTTAAATAAACAGTACATGTGACTTGGAGATTTTCTATGCGCCAGTAAGTCTAAGACTTGTCCGTTGCAGAGATTCCTTGCATTGTTAGCCACTGATATAAGCACCGGAAGAGAGAGAGAGACCTGGAATTAATTAACTTCAGAAATGGCATGTAATTATAGCAAGAAAGCCTGCATTTGTAATACAGGGAAGTGAGTGGACGGCAGACTAGTGATTATTTTTCTGACTTTTATTGCTTTGCCTCTCACAGGAGAAAACATTTCACAAGTCCAAGTCACACACCTTGATTGCAGACAAGACTTCAAGATATGCATTTCGCTCTACTCAGAAATTCCCAGCTAGAAGGGAGATGCAAAAGGAGGTCCTAAAATACTTTGGTCCATCTGCAGTTGATACAATGATGCAAAGCTACTCTGAAGGTCAGAATATGTTTGCTTTTGAATGGCAATGCCACCGCCTAAGGCTTTAACTGCTAACATTTACATCCCAAATGTTCCTGAATTACATTTCCGATGATGATGCTTAGCTGGCCTTGTGAAATATCATCATGGGGAATATAATGCAGAAATATTAGGGGGATAGGAATTGCCTTCATTGCCCCATGGCATTCTTGGACATGGAAAGGTGAACCTCCAGGATATGTTTACTGGTATCCTAATTAAGCTGCTTGTAAAGCATTCAGCAAGTATTCAGCATCACTCAGCATTTAGTGGAATAGGCACATGTGACTCCCCAAAGCACTAAAAAGGATAGGACCAGAACGGTGAAAAACTGATATGTGTTTGGACCAAAAACTTTATGTAAACATAAGCCATATATGTTATTCTTTTCATAAAAACAATTGCTTCCAACCTTATGTGTGTCCTCACAGTCTAGCAGTTTTGAAGAACTTGTAGAACATAGTTTCAATGCATTTTAATTGGATGTACTATTTCATTTTTTATTTTTTTTTGAGAAATCATCCCTTCCCTTTAAAGGTAAAATTTCTAGGCCATACTCATTTTCCTAATCACAGAGTAGGATACAGAACAATGTAAATTGTTTCCTTCACATGATATATTTTCCCCTTGTTTGGCTGAATGGACACTGGACGTGGTGTCGAGATTAATGTACTGATTCTGTGTATGGACAGAATCGTTCTGATGAATGTTACCGCTGTTGAATTCTCGTTCTCTGACCACATTGTATATGACTGTTGATGATATGCCAGCTTACGGAACCTGTCACTGAACTTATGTCTCTTTCATTCCAAAATGGAATCTGGTTCCTAAATGTGTTATATGAGATAGTGTACAAAAATAAATTATTTCTTTAGTAATCCTTGTTTATTTTATTTTTCAGTTAGCAACTATTATCATTAGGGATTTTTATCTGAGCTTCATTAAGGAGCCGGATGTCAGAGATTTCAAACACACTGTGGCCCTAAACTCCTAAAATGAAACCCACTCATTGCCTTGGAAGTAAGAACATTTTAGAGGTTCTATTTATTTTTTTAGATTTGCAGCTGATAACTGAGTCATTGCTTGTAGGACATACAAGCAATGACACACATGCAGGTTTGTAGTTTGATGCCTGTATGTTTAAACAGGGCTTGTAGGCCACTTGTACAAATTCAAGTGTTTATTACAAAATTAAACCAGTGGAGATTTGTGTGTCTAAGGTGAACCTGTCATACACAAATCATATGGTTGTAATGTCACCTTCAGATAAGTATGAAATTAATATTTTTATTGGAAAACCCACAAGCACACAATATACCTGAAGATTGTTTCCTAAAATGCAACATGGTGCCTGGCAATGGACACCCACACGTAGCACACAAATGCTAGTGCAGATGTATGCTAGAACTGACACATTGGAGACAGTGCAGTAGAGCATGCAGCCTCCCCTGATCTCCACATTTGCATTCTTTACCTATATGACAAACTGCCGGGGTTAAATGCAAACAGAGGCGAAAATTAAAATATATCATTTTCTAGCTGTTTACAAATACACAAAAATAAGTCCTGCGCTCAGACTCCCACTACTCCTGGGAGGCAGCAATGGCCATAGTATACATCAGCCCCAATACATACAATAAAAACCATAGACAAGAGTAACCTGCACAATACCCTAAATCCCTACGCATATTTAAACAAATTTAAATGTTTTTTAGTTTCACTCCAATAGCCATTAGGTGTAAGCCCACCTGCCGTGTCAAAGTAAACCTCTTAGGTGGGTCCTACACTAACAATTCACCTTGCTTGCTTCAGCTTTAGGTAAGAAAATCTTCAATGAGACAGAGAGGTGTATTTTTCTAAACCCCTACATAATTAACCCTTAATAGGGAACACATGGGATGGGTGGCAGCATTGTAACATGGCTGTGTGATACAAAAGTAAAGACTAGCTGTTTGGCTAGCATACACTTTAAATTGATTAAATTGGGTTCTAGTTGACGTCATCAGGTTGCCAATTCAAGTTTGCCATAACTGGAGCACTTTAACACATAAGACATTTTGATTACGTCTTTGTGGATCGTTTGGACATGTTGAGTGCTTCTGTAGTCACTTTCCGACCACTCAATGATCCCCAGTGAAATCAGCGGTATAATCGTTTCAGCACTTAACAGTATGCTTGAAGTGAATGTACAAAATTATACTAGACCAATGGCATCAAAAACACTTCCACATAAGAATATTTTTGTCTCCTTTTATGAAATCCTGTACGTTTAGAAAAAAAGCTTCTGATGTATGATAATAGCTCCACTGATATATTTTATATGCTCTTATAAACTCATAGGACATTTAATTGCCCAAACTCTAATTAGAGATATTCTTAAAAAACAAAATCCGATTCTTGTCCCATTTAAATAAAAATCTTCTCGCTCTGATTAATGTTCAATTAGTCAATTGGTTGAGAGTGTATGAAAAATTTCATTATTTTCTCCTTTCCCTTTGTGTTAATTTTCTATCAAGGTTTCAATCTGAAAGATGCAGAAGCTTTTCCGAGACAGGAGATGATTGACAAGGTTTTGATCAAAAGAAGTATAAGTCGGGCTGAAAATCAGAAGCAAAATGACAATGCAGTCAGGTCCTTTGATTCATAATCTATTTAGCAAGACACAATTATCACAAGATGTGAATTTCTTTTGTGTTTGCCTTCCTTAAAATGTGCATATTTATTCTTTCAATGTAGTTAAATTATCAGCATGCATGTAAATGTTTGCTGCTTAGAATTTAATTAAATGTACTTGATTAAATATACTGCTCAGACATTTTTGTAACACAGGCTAAATATATCGGGTTGTTTATTTTACTGTTTTGTTTTCCTTTTAGGAAACTAAATGAAGCCAAAGAACATTTGATGAAAGCACTGAAGAAGTTGGAAATACAAAATGAGTTCTTTGGAAATGGTATGACTTTACCAATTATAGCCAGCAAGCAAGCTGGGCTCTTTCTGTTTAATATTGTGTCTTAATTGACATGAATATGTCACTACAATTTTTCCAAGAATGGCCTGAAGTCTGTGAACGAAAGGTTCCATACTAATGAGATCTGGTATCATTCAAGGGTGATATTAATCGACAGAAGACCCTTGACATTGTTATTATGAATTAACGGAATCTCAATTTATTTATAATAAATATATATCAATGCTAAATATCCAGTACAATTCAAAAATTTTTCAGATTCTTAAAGTTTTCCATTGTAAATTAATCATTTATTAATGACTTGTTCCAGACTGGGCTTGTATCTCCCTCTACCAGACTTAATAGAAGTCTTATTATATACAAGGTGTCCACGAAAGCAGTGTAGCGGAACATTAAAAAGCTTAAAATAATGCTTTTTATAGAAAGAAATATATGTTTTAAATATGGAATTAGAATTGCAGGTGCCTAAATTAAATCTTCCTGCAAGCTCAGTCTGCATGAAGCCCTCGCGGAGTGAAGATAGATAATTTTTTTGTCTAGATTTGTAAAAAAAACAAAAAACCCAAAGAAACAAAAATAATGGCTGAATTTTGTCTAAAAAAGAATTAACAAATGGACAAAATTTGGTTTGGACGAAACTAATTATTTTTTCATCCGAATGTATTTAGACAAAAGGAAAATTTATGTGCACCCAAGTCTAGTGCACTTAGAAAGGGGAAGAATGCCCTAGTTCTAGATTTTATAATCTATGATGATTTGAGGTAGGTGAATATACAGTTGCAAGAAAAAGTATGTGAACCCTTTGGAATGATATGGATTTCTGCACAAATTGGTCATAAAATGTGATCTGATCATCATCGAAATCATAACAATAGACAATCACAGTCTGCTTAAACTAATAACACACAAAGAATGAAATGTTGCCATGTTTTTATTGAACACACCATGTAAACATTCACAGTGCAGGTGGAAAAAGTATGTGAACCCATAGACTAATGACATCTCCAAGAGCTAATTGGAGTGAGATGTCAGCCAACTGGAGTCCAATCAATGAGTTGAGTTTGGAGGTGTTGGTTACAGCTGCCCTGCCCTATAAAAAACACACACCAGTTCTGGGTTTGCTTTTCACAAGAAGCATTGCCTGATGTGAATGATGCCTCACACAAAAGAGCTCTCAGAAGACCTACGATTAAGAATTGTTGACTTGCATAAACCTGGAAAGGGTTATAAAAGTATCTCCAAAAACCTTGCTGTTCATCAGTCCACGGTAAGACAAATTGTCTATAAATGGAGAAAGTTCAGCACTGCTGCTACTCTCCCTAGGAGTGGCCGTCCTGTGAGGTGAAGAAGAATCCTAGAGTGTCAGCTAAAGACTTACAAAAGTCACTGGCAAATGCTAACATCCCTGTTAGCGAATCTACAATACGTTAAGAATGGATTTCATGGGAGGATACCACAGAGGAAACCACTGCTATCCAAACAAAACATTGCTGCACGTTTACAGTTTGCACAAGAGCACCTGGATGTTCCACAGCAGTACTGGCAAAATATTCTGTGGACAGATGAAACCAAAGTTGAGTTGTTTGGAAGAAACACACAACACTGTGTGTGGCGAAAAAAAGGCACAGCACACCAACATGAAAACCTCATCCCAACTGTGAAGTATGGTGGGGGGGGCATCATGGTTTGGGGCTGCTTTGCTGCGTCAGGGCCTGGACGGATTGCTATCATCGAAGGAAAAATGAATTCCCATGTTTATCAAGACATTTTGCAGGAGAACTTAAGGCCATCTGTTTACCAGCTGAAGCTCAACAGAAGATGGGTGTTGCAACAGGACAATGACCCAAAGTATAGAAGTAAATCAACAACAGAATGGCTTAAACAGAAGAAAATACGCCTTCTGAAGTGGTCCAGTCAGAGTCCTGACCTCAACCCGATTGAGATGCTGTGGCATGACCTCAAGAAAGCGATTCACACCAGACATCCCAAGAATATTGCTGAACTGAAACAGTTCTGTAAAGAGGAATGGTCAAGAATTACTCCTGACTGTTGTGCACGTCTGATCTGCAACTACAGGAAACGTTTGGTTGAAGTTATTGCTGCCAAAGGAGGTTCAACCAGTTATTAAATCCAAGGGTTCACATACTTTTTCCACCTGCACTGTGAATGTTTACATGGTGTGTTCAATAAAAACATGGCAACATTTCATTCTTTGTGTGTTATTAGTTTAAGCAGACTGTGATTGTCTATTGTTGTGACTTAGATGATGATCAGATCACATTTTATGACCAATTTGTGCAGAAATCCATACCATTGCAAAGGGTTCACATACTTTTTCTTGCAACTGTATATTGTTAGACCAGAATTCAAACCTAGGTTTCCTAGTTCTAAGGCAGTGACATTACATCTCCTATTATTTAAGCCTTTTATTTATCATATTGACTTCACAACTCACTGTCTAGTGGATAGACATCAGTATTTCTTTTGCCAGTAGTTTATTCAATCTAAAACGACTATTCAAGAAAAGCTTTAAGAATATTTTTTGTGAAAATTCTTCAAACCTATTAATCTTCTCTCTCAGGGTTATTGTCAGGAATTCAAAGATAATTAAAAGTAAATATAAAATATTAGGCCAAGATAACTGAAAGTGATACATAACTGAGTTGAACATTTTTCCAATTTGGCTCTATTAGCATAACATTATTTTTAATTGCTGTCAGTTCAAACTTTAGTGAATAACTCTTTAAGGCACATAGGAGTGTAGGCGCTATGGAATCTGATGACGCTATATAAATAATAAAATAATAATAATAAACTGGTCTAAATCTGCCTTAGAGAAAAAAAATATGAATGGTAACATTGTTATGATTAATTAATTAGGCCTTGGCAGAGTTTGGCACAAACAATACAATATGCTTATAATATTTAGTAGAGAGGAGTGAACACTTTTTAAGGACAAAAAAATTATAAATAATATAAATACTGTTAGATGCTGCACCACATACATAAAAAATTTCACCCTAAAATTTGTGTATGGGAAATGAAGAGGTAGAAACCAACTCACCCTTTCATGAATCTGCTCCTAAGAATGTGTCTAAAAATTCAATTAGAAAGGAACGTGAAACTGTGTGAGCAGTAACATGTCAGCAGACAGCTGTATTAGAACCAGATCGAAAGGTTGTGCATAATAAGATGTTTATTTTCCATTTGGTTTACCGTGTTTACACTGTAATCCCTGTTTACAGGAGGAGGCTTGCAAGACAAAACACCCCCCACAGTGATCCCATCTTCTAACATCAGGTTTGATTTCATTTATTGGGTGGAATTTGTGAAACGCCAAGATTAATAAATGTCATTAGATTGCAACGCATAGAGAAACAAGCAAGGGATTTTCTAATAAGTGGTTTCTCATTAAATACAAATTACCAAGTGCACACAAACAAAAGGTCTAAAGGTTGGAAAACAAATTACACTGTTCTGAGCTAGGAATTTGGCAACTTATTGAGCTTCAGAGCTAGCTGTAGACTAGGTCACCTGTAATGCTCTGCCAGCCTTTTGAGATTTGCATTTGTTTATGCACAGGTCTCTTTAGGTCCTGCCATGTTTGGTTGAGGTCTGGATTTTGAGTGGGCCATTACAACACCTTGATTCTTTTCTTTTCCAGCCATTCTGTTGTATAATTGTTTGTGTGCTTGGATCATAGTTCTTTGCACAACCCAATTTCGGCCAAGCTTTAGCTGTCGGAAAGATGACCTCACATTTGACTCTAGAATAGTTTGATATGCAGAGGAGTTCATGGTCGACTCAATGACTGCAAGATTACCATGTCCTGTGGTTGCAAAACAAGCTCAAAATTATCACCCCTCCACCACTGTGCTTGACAGTTGGTATGAGGTGTTTGTGCTGAAATGCTGTGTTTGGTTTTCACAATGTGTGGTGCTGTGCCTTATGGCCAGATATCTCCACTTTGGTTTTGTCTGTCCAAATGACATTGTTCCAGAAGTCTTGTGGTTTGTTCAGATGCAACTTTGAAATCCAAAGCCGTGCTGCCATGTTCTTTTTAGAGAGAAGAGGCTTTCTCCTAGCCACACTTCCAAACAAACCATACTCATTCAGTCTTTTTCCAATTGTACTGTTATGAACTTTAACATGCTAACCAAGGCTGTAGAGTCTTAGATGAAATTCTTGTTCTTTTTGCTATTAATTTTGAAAGAAAATTTTTAATGTAATCAATTGATCAAGCACAGCACCTGTCTGCTACTTAGCCTCTTAATTCCTGTGGAAACAGTAAGGGTGTACCTCATTTTCCACACATGACTTTTCCATTTTGGCTTCATTTTTGTTACAAACAAATCATGACACAGTGTAATATGGCATGTGCTCAGGGCCGGACTGGCCCACCGGGATACCGGGACATTTCCCGGTGGGCCAATCCAATGCTTTGCCATAGGATTGGCTGCAAAATGATACACCAATCAGCATCTCCTCATAGAGATGCATTGAATCAATGTGTCTCTATGGGGAACGTTCAGCACCTCCAGAGTGTGGGGGCCCTGAATGTAGGTGCACTGACACAGGAAGCACCTCTAGTGACCGTCTGAGTGACTGTCACTAGCAGTGTCACTTTGAAGCAATGTAAACACTGCCTTTTCTCCGAAAAGTCAGTGTTTATATTGAAAAGCCTGTGGGGACGTGCTATAGACACCAGTACCACCACATTAAGCTGTGTGTGTGCGTCTTCTAGTGAGTGAGCTTCCTTGCATGTGTGTGCCTGCTAGTGAGTGAGCTTGTGTTTTTATGTCAATGAGCTGATGTATATCAGTGAGATTGTTTGTCTATGAGGCTGTGTATCAATGAGCTTGTGTGTGTCATTGAGATGTCAGTGTCTGCATGTGAGTATGATTGCTGTATAATTAAACGTTTTACTCTGAAAGGACCAATATTTTATATTAGAAAAAGCAATATATATATATATATATATATATAAAATATATATTACTCAATCATCTGTCATCTGGGGTGGCATGACATAGCCTTACATATTACACGCGACAATATATGGCGCAGTGACTTATGGGGCTGACATAACATTTTTTTACAGGGCTGCTTTGTATCCCCAGTCCGGCCCTGCATGTGCTGTTGTTCATTTGAGGTTGTATTTACCTAATTTTAAGACCTGATAAAGAACAGATAATTGTTATTATGTCTTGATATGAAAAACCATATAATTTAAAGCGTGTGCACAAAAATACATTAAAAGCATACTCATATTGGCAGATCCTGCTTTTGCTGCAAAACCCCATTCTTTGCATCTTCTGCAATGAGCTCTCACCAAGTCAAATATTGACTTTGCCTATTATAATGTACAATTAAAGGAACATTCAAATTAATATTAAGATATTTTCCATTTTTTTTTTGATTATTGCTACCTCCCATTGTTATTTTAAAACGATTTATAGTTAAATAACTAAAAAAAAAAAAGATATATAATTTAATCATTATTCCAGCATTGGGACTGTCTATTCCGTGCAGCCTGATCCTTCTTTGATGAAGTTCCCTAAACAAGAGTCACCACTGCTGGAAATTGGTTTAAGACTGAATGCAGAGACAGCACAAGGGACTCTAGGCACTATAAATACATAATTCAATAAGATGAAATGGCTATCATTCCTACAGTGTCCCTTTAAGATAAAGTGATTTTGGTAGTTAGACTGCCCCTTTAACATTCCATGTCACTGCTGAGCTTTATAGTAACAGCAAGAGCATTATGAAGGTGTAGGTTATTTAACTGCAAAACTGTAACGCATAGAAACTCGAGTCATAATATTGTGTAGAAAAGTATTCGTGAAGCAAAAGGGAAATTAAACAGGTTGAGCTTAACGAGTAAACCACATAACAAATGCAAACTCTTTAAGCTAGTATTTTACTAGTTGGGCTTTGGCTTTACGTCACCCATTTGAACTCCTACTTATTTGTTTTATATAGTTTTAAAAATGTTGTAATAGGAATCTCTTTTGTGCTTCATATTGGCTTGGGAATATTGCAGGTTAGCAAGGAGGAAGAGCAAATTGTAATTATTATTTAATTAGAAAGACAAACACTTGAAGATTAAGTACAATTTAAGATTAATAAAAAAAAAAAAAAAAAAATCCCACCCAGCTCTAGTCAATAACACCTTGGTAGCATGCTGGTGCTAGGAATGTCACTTTTAGTATGCATTTGTGTTTATATTTGGACCATTTCAAAGAAATTTATCCTGGAGAAATAAATATGGCTGGGTTATCTTCACATAATGAATGTGCTTGGCACTACTGCTATTGTACTTGTCAGACATCCAATTTTTGAGGGAGCCAGTCCAGAGATTTATATTAAATAGCTTGAAAGAACTATTTATCTGTGTGGTCAGGTATATTAAACTAACCCCCTTCACCACAACCACTTCCTGTTTTACGATAACAGATAACATTGTACTTTGTTTCACTGTCCCACTGTACTAGAGGGATGTAAACACTTTAAATATGTTACCTCAACTATCAGGTTAACTAATTCAACTGAATAAATCACCTCAACTGAGAGCCTTTTTTACTGCTTTTGCAGTAAAAAAGGCTCTCAGTTGAGGTGATTTATTCAGTTGAATTAGTTAACCTGATAGTTGAGGTAACATATTGGGATAATTTCTTTATGTCAGGGGGCTTAGAGAACATATAAGGAAAAACTGTTTGGGATTTATGTCACAATGCATTTAGGTGATCTGACAACCCCATTGCAAAACTTAGGCCTGCAGACCAGAAGTCTTGAGACTTGTATTCTTTTTTTAAATAACTTAACAATTTTTTTTGCAACTTGGTTGTGTGAGCATTACAATTGACTGTTTAGTGGATAAACCCACGTGCCATTGACAGTCTCTGATGGGAATGAAAAATAATTATATGTTTGTGGGTGGGCAATGAGACCCAAATTAAATTAAAGTGTGACAAACAAAGTTATGTAAAAATGTATTTGGGGTTTATTTAGCAAACATAGAGTTCTGGCAAATTGAAAAATATGCTACATTTTGGGTAAAATAACTGAGTTGGCCAAATCTCTATCTCTGGATTAGCAAATCAGTATTGTTGGCACCCAGACCACTTCAGCTCATTGAAGTTGTCTGGGTGCAGCGTCCCAGGTCTCTTAACCCTGCAAAGGTACGGTAATTATTGCAGTTTTTAAGAAACTGCAATAATTACCTGTGTGGGTTAACTCCACCTCTAGTAGCTGTCTGCAAGACAGCCTCTAGAGGGACTTCCGGGTCGTTAGGCGACTTTTGGTTGCCTAACTGATGCTGGATCTCCTCACACTATGCATGAGAACGTTCAGCATCACCCAAAACATTATAGGACAGAATTTTACATGCTTTCCTAAGATGTAAATTCTAATGCGGGTGTGTTGATCGCTGCACATGCGCAACAGGGCTCCCGCATTTGGCCTTAAAAGAACTCTGTGTCAAATATGCATTACTAATGCTACAGTGTTCCCCTACCTATCTAGATGTCTACGCCCACTTGCAGGGGATTTAAAGGTACGTTTTTCTTACCTTAAATGCCGCGGTGCACTGCTCCACTCCTCACTGTTGTGTGGAAGCATTGGAAGGCCTGACAAAAAGTCATGTTCCACCATTTAAATGTTCTCAATGACAGTCACTTTAAAGAAATAGTTTAGGCAGTATAACAAGTTCATCGAAATTAAGTTGTTATAGTGCCAGGACGTCCCTGGTGCTGGCTTACTTTAAGGGGTTAAACTGTTCTCGAAACCCAAAGTCTCCAGCGCTGAATCTCCCTGCCTCTCTGCCCTTCCCTGTTCTAAAAATCTCTAAACTGGGAGATTCTTGCAGAATTGGCCAGTGGTGCCGCTGATTGGCTGAAATCGGTTGGCTGACACTCTCAGCCAATCAGTGAATCCCCATTCATAAAACTGGCATAAAACATACTTTTTTCAAGCCAGTTTTATGAATAGGTATTCACTGATTGACTGAGAGCGTCAACAGACCACTATTAGCCAATCAGTGGCGCTGCTACCTGATACTGCAAGAGCCTTCCAGTTTAGAGATGTTTAAAACCGGCTGAGAAGAAAAGAGATTCGGAACTGGAACACAGATTTTGGGGTTAAACTGTTCAAGAATGGTTAAATTGGTATGGTGTCTGGAGTGTTCCTTTAAGTCGGTTATAGCTGCAGGAGCATCTCTAGTGGATATCTCCCTGTCATTCACTAGAGGTGTGTTAACTTTGCAATGTAAACATTACTGTCCCTGCAAAACAGCAATGTTTTTACTTGCAGGATTAAAATGGCAGGGACATGGCACCCAGACCACTTCTTTGAGATGAAGTGGTTTGAGTGCCTATAGAGTTCCTTTAAATTTGTAATTCACTCTGAATTCACTTCAGAATTTCACTATAGTAGAAAAACCTGTATATGTTCATCAATCCTGTATAATAATGAATAAAGTCCAAATTTAAAAGAAGTCTTTTTTTTTTTTAGCTACAATGATTTCTTTGCAAAGGAAATTAGATGTGGAGATAGGCAGAACTTAAAAGAATTATGCTGTGGATGCTAAAATGCACTGGCCACATGCCAAAGAACATTAGACTCCGCTCAACACATTCAATAAAATAGCAGAGAGATCTCATTAATTTAAACAAGGACTCACGTAATACATCTTCTTCGCATACATACACATGCTACACCTTTCAGCTCCATTGTATGCAGTCATTTATTTATGTCAAATAGTGTTTGAATGGATTTTATAAGATGTGCTAAAGGACCAAAAGTAAATACGATTTAGCGTGCTGAAAGAAAGGAGTTCAGGATATAAGCAAATGTATTTTATTCCACAACTTATGTAAACATGGGCTATAGCTACAGTGCTACATCAGAAAAGTATCATTTCCAAACTTTAATATAATTAACCTTTTTTTTGAGATGGTTATAAAAAAAAACAATAGGAATTGTCATTAACAATACACTTTACTGCACTCCTTCATAACAAGATTCTATTCTATCCAGTTGAAATTGTGCTGTAAGTAAAGAATTTTGTATAAAAAAAATGTATTAGTGGACATCTTGTCTTGAGTTTTTTTTTTACTTTTTACCGCTTAATAAATCTCTACGCTAGTTTGTACCTGATTAGTCATTTTATGTTTCTATAAAAACTTCATACTATACCATACAGCTCAGGTGGGAAGCTACAGAGGGTAACGATGCGATGCAGCTGTAGCTGAGTGTCCATGCTTCTTCTAATTTCCATTATGCTGCAACAGGAATTATCTATGTTGCCGCATGTTTATAGTACATTATGCAAGGTAAAGAAAATGGTGGTGACAATGTATTGGTAGGATTGAGGCCATTGTTTCTCATTTTTGAAGTTAGCTGAAACTATTTTTTAGAAACTTTATTTTGTTTCTTTATAGAAAAGAATGTGTAAACATAAGTCTACCTGGGACAGACCTTCTAAAAGACTTGGAAAAGGTGAGGTGGTGTGACTTGGGCCGAGAGTAACTTATGCAGACCTAAGTTGGCTTCTGGAAAAATTTAATTACTATTAATTAGTTTATATTATGTGTTCCAGGATGATCTGCTGCTTGATGATATAATAAAGGAAATCATGACTGCCCACTTACCTCATGTACCTGACAAGGCGGCTCCTTCCCTTACAAAGTATCCTTTTATCATTCCAAAATACTCGTCAATGTGCATATGCATTCACAAAAGACAAAAAGCCCTGGCTTGTCATCAGGGACTTATTAGCCACGAGGCAAACAAGGCATTTGCCTTGGGCGGCATTTTCCTGGGGGCGGCAAAAAAAGCCGCCCCCAAATGCCCAAGGCAAATGTCTTGTTAGCCTGGTGGCTAACTAAAAATCCGGTCGGATGGGTGGGCGGGCGGCGCTGGCGAGGGAGCACTTTCCCCTGAGCTCTCTGCTCAGCTCCCTCGTGCGCTGCAGAGTGATGCCGGGAGTTGGAATATGACATCATATTCTGGCTCCCAGCATCACTCTGCGGCGCGAGGAAGCTGAGCAAAGAGCTCACTAATCAGTGCTCCCTCGCAAGGGCCGCCCGCCCGCCCAGCAGCCCCACTGGACCTCAGGGAAAGGGAGAACCCCCCCAGCATTCCCAAAGGTAAGGAGGCTGGGGGGGTTTAATTAAAAAAAAAAAAAAGTGTGTGTGTGTCTGTTAGTGAGTGAGTGTGTGTGTCTGTTAGTGTGTGTGTGTCTGTTATCTGTTAGGGTGTGTCTGTTAGTGAGTATGTGTTTGTCTGTTAGTGTGTGTATGTTAGTGTGTGTCTGTTAGTGAGTGAGTGTGTGTCTGTTAGCGTGTGTGTGTGTGTTAGTGTGTGTGTGTGTGTCTGTTAGTGAGTGAGTGTGTGTGTGTCTGTTAGTGTGTGTGTCTGTTAGTGAGTGTGAGTGTGTGTCTTTTAGTGAGTGTGTGTATGTCAGGGAGTGTGTTACTATGTGTGTGTCTGTTAGTGAGAGTGTATGCATGTCATTTAGTGAATGTGTGTGTCTGCTAGTGACTGTATGTGCCTGTATGTCTGTTTGCTAGTGTATGCGTGTCTGTCAGTGAATGTGTGTGTATTTAGAAGGCGGGGCAGGGGGGAAGGGTGGGGTGACGCGGGGGGGGAGGAGGTGGGGAGTGGGTACGCCTGAGTTTTGTCATGCCTAGGACACCACAAAACTCCAGAATCGTATAAAGCCATTTATTATCATCACATATTTGTTTGGCTCCTTTTAAAATCATAATGAAAACAGAAATCACCTAAATGGCCCTGATCAAAAGTTTGCATACCCTTGAATGTTTGGCCTTGTTACAGACACACAAGGCGACACACACAGGTTATGCCAATGACAACTAGCAATGGCAATTAAAGGTTAATTTCCCACACCTGTGGATTTTTATGGATGTTTATGAATAGTCAATTAATTTTTACCTCTCATGTGGATGCACTGAGCAGGCTAAATACTGAGCCTTGGGGAGCAGAAAAGAACTATCAAAAGACCTGCGTAACAAGGTAATGGAACTTTATAAAGATGGAAAGGAATATAAAAATATATCCAAAGCCTTGATAATGCCAGTCAGTACTGTTCAATCAATTTGGAGAGGTGCCAACAAGACCTATAATGAAAAGAATACCATCCCCACTGTGAAGCTTGGTGGTGGCCCACTGATGGTTTTTTTTTGGGGTCTGAGCTCTAAAGGCACGGGGAATCTTGTGAAAATTGATGGCAAAATGAATTCAGCATGTTATCAGAAAATACTGGCAGACTATTTGCATTCTCCTGCACAAAGGCTGCGCATGGGACGTTCTTGGACTTTCCAGCATGACAATGACCCTAAGTACAAGGCCAAGTAGACCCTACAGTGGTTACAGCTGAAAAACATGAAGGTTCTGGAGTGGCCATCACAGTCTTCTGACCTTAATATCATCGAGCCACTCTAGGGAGATCTCAAACGTGCAATTCATGCAAGATGACCAAAGACTTTGCATGATCTGGAGGCATTTTGCTAAGATCAATGGGCAGCTATACCAACTGCAAGAATTAGAAGCTTCATAGACAACTATTACAAAAAACTGCATGCTGTCATTGATGCTAAAGGGGGCAATACACAGTATTAAGAGCTTCGGTTATGCACACTTTTGATCAGGGGTCATTTCATTTATTTCTTTGTTGCCATGTTTTGTTTTATGTTTGTGCCACTCTTTATAACCTACAGTAGAATATGAATCCCATAACAAATAAAAGAAATGTGTTTTGCCGGCTCACTCATGTTTTCTTTAAAAATGGTGCATATATTACCAATTTTCCAATGGTATGCAAACTTTTGAGCACAACTGTAAATGAAAAAATATTGCATCTAACATGAAAAATGAGGATTAAAGCAACACTTTAGCGTAAGGAATGTGTGGCCTTAATGCTATAGTGCTATGTTAAAGGTTTAGATCCCCGGCAACCCTTGTTAGAAGCTAAAAATAAGTTTTACTCATCTTTTCTCTCTTATAGCGCCGGTTTCCACACTGCTTTTTCCATCTCCGTGGTTGAGATCATTAAAGATAAATGGTTCCAGACAATCCAATGCTTCTCCATAGGAAAGCATTGGGAGGCAGGTATGACACATGTGCCAATCAGATGATCTTTGAGATCATTTGACTGAAATAGCAGAGTTTCACTCTACATTGTAGGGTTTAAATGCCTCTAGTGGCTGTTACTCAGACAGGTAGGTGGCTTTAAAGCTGTGGCTGAACAGAGTATGTATATGTGTTTGTATATATATATATATGTGTGTGTGTGTGTGTGTGTATATATATATATATAAATATGTAAAAAAAACAGATGAAATTAGTATCTTGTAATATCTTTTTTATTGGACTAAAAATTTTTGGGGATGACTAGTTTTCGGAAGAACCTCCCTTTCTCAGGTCTAAAGCATTCCTGAGCAAAAATGAAACATAGAATTTAAAGTTGACTTGTGATACTGGGATTTAGTTGAGCTGAGTGCAGAAAAGACACAAGTCTGATAGAAAATAGACACCATTCTCATCGAGGGATGTAATATGCTACAATCTCTACTCTCTGTATATATGAAATACATATTACAGATATACGGATGTGGAAAACCTTCGGCACTCCATATGTTTTCTCGGCTAGTTTTCCTTAATTGTATTCTTGTAAGAGAGTTACGGGCAAAAGTAACATCAGAAAGGTGTTTGGAACATGCTGCTCTTCTTGCTGCTGAGGAAATCATCCTGGAGGTCAGAATTTAAGTTCTATGTATATCTCTACTAACCTTTCCTGTGTTCCTAAATTACAAAATAACAATTGCTCACCTGTAATAAACATGACATGCCTTCACCGTTAATGAATGACAAGCTAATGTGGCCTACTTGCATTATGTAAGCGTATGTCTCAATCTAATAGAGCATCTTTCTCCTGCCAGGGCAGACCCTGGCCTAGAGGATCATAGCTGGAGCTCTTGGGATATCTCTGTACTGATTTTCAGACTCTGTGCACCCTTAACTGATGTGCTGGGGTGATGGCACCCTAGCTCCGGCATCAGTATAGACCTACTGCAGAGTTCCAAGCAGCACTCCACTGGAATCCAGGGATGAGGTTCCACCACATCTCCCTTACAAGATAAAAAGGAGACTGGTTGAACCTCACTGTGAAGAAAAAAAAATATATATAAATTACAATATAAAATTAGAATTTAAATTAAGTGTGTGCTTATATGTGTGTGCATGAATCATTATGTGTATATTCATGTGTGTATGAGTGTGTATATCAATGGGTGTGTTTATGAGGATATGTGTGTGTAAGTCTGTGTGTAAATGGATGTGTGGGTTTATGTGTGTGATTGTGTAAGATTCTGTGTGTATGTATATCAATATGTGTGTCTGTGTGGTGAATATACGTATGTGTGAATATGAATGTCTTTGTATATGAATGTGAGTATGGGCATCTATCTAAATGAAGAAAAAAATGGTTGGAGGTACAGAATAAAATGAAAAAATCTGCATTTGGGATAAGGGTAAAATAGATTTCCACCCTGGGTGCCATGTAACCTAATGCACCTCTGCTTTCTATACATGACTATAGCAGTTTATTTTGTAATCACTATGCTAGTAAAGGCTAAAAGTAATTTTTGACAGCAATGTTTTTTTATTTTGTTTTGATAAACTGTATTAAGTTTTATATATATTAGGCAGGGGTGGGTAGAAGCAGTGGCGTACACACGACCCCTGGGGCCCCGGTGCGAAAATTGATCCGTGGGCCCCGCGCGCGCGCGGGCCGGACCGCAACACATGGCGGTGGGCACCTGGTCGCAGGGGTTACAGGGCTGCGACCCCTGCGACCACGGTATGTACGCCAGTGCATGCAGATGCACACACACTTAAAGGACCACTCTAGGCACCCAGACCGCTTCAGCTTAATGAAGTGGTCTGGGTGCCAGGTCCAGCTAGGGTTAACCCATTTTTTCATAAACATAGCAGTTTCAGAGAAACTGCTATGTTTATCAATGGGTTAAGCCTTCCCCTATTTCCTCTAGTGGCTGTCTCATTGACAGCCGCTAGAGGCGCTTGCGTGCTTCTTACTGTGATTTTCACAGTGAGAGCACGCCAGCGTCCATAGGAAAGCATTATGAATGCTTTCCTATGTGACCGGCTGAATGCGTGCACAGCTCTTGCTGCGCGTGCGCATACAGCCGACGGGGAGGAGAAGAGGAGGATCGGAGGAGGAGAGCTCTCCGCCCAGCGGTGGAAAAGGGTAAGTTTTACCCCTTTCCAGAGCCGGGCGGGAGGGGGTCCCTGAGGGTGGGGGCACCCTCAAGGCACTATAGTGCCAGGAAAACGAGTGTTTTCCTGGCACTATAGTGGTCCTTTAAAGGACCACTACAGACACCCAGATCACATCAGCTCAATGAAGTTGTCTGGGTGTCAGGTCCCTCTAGTTTTAACCCTGCGGCTGAAAACATAGCAGTTTCAGAGAAACTGCTATGTTTCACTGAGGGTTAATCCAGCCTCTAGTGGCTGTCTCACTGACAGCCGCTAGAGGAGCACACTGAACGTCCATAGGAAAGCATTGAGTAATGCTTTCCTATGGGCGGTTTGAATGCGTGTGCGGTTGCATTTGGAGCTGAGAGGCTGAGGGATCCGCAGCGCCAAGGGAGTCCGGCGCTGGAGAAAGGTAAGTGCTGAAGACACACACACACTTACAGACGCATACACACTAGCCAACAGACACACACATTTACTGACAGAGACACACTCAGCGACAGACATACATACACACTCACAAAACATACACTCTCATTGACAAACACAAACTCACTAACAGACATCAAACAGACTCACTAACACACACACACACACACACACACTCAGTAAGACACACACAGTAACACACTCACTGACACTCACTAGCAGACACACACACTAACACTCACTCTAACACTCACACTCACTCTAACACTCACTCTAACACTCACACTAACACTCAAACACTAACACATGTTTTTTTTTTGTTTTTTTTTAATTTAATCCCCCCAGCCTCCGTACCTTTTGGAGTGCTGGGGGGATTCCCTGGGGTCCAGTGGTGTTGCTGGACTCCTGGGCGGGTGGCCGGTCGGGCAGGCGGGCGCGCGAGGGAGCACTCAGTGCTTCCTCTTCAGCTCCCTCGCGCTCTGCGTAGGGATGCCGGCGCCGGAAGATGACGTCATCTTCCGGCTCCGGTATCAGTGCGGTGCGCGAGGGAGCTGAAGAGGAAGCACTGAGTGCTCCCTCGCGCGCCCGCCTGCCTGCCCGACAGGCCACCCGGGGTCAGCAGGGCCAGCCTCAGGGGGGCCCTGGGGTGGTCGGCTCCTGGGCCCCCCAGGGGAAGAGGCTGGCCCTGGGCGTACATACCGGGTCGCAGGGGCGGCCGGGCCCCCTGGTGGGCCGGGCCCGGTCGCAGCCGCGACCCATGCGACCCTGGTATGTACGCCACTGGGTAGAAGGGTGATGCAATCAGAAAAGTGAGTTAATCACAGTGATCATGCTGTTATATATGATTGGAATAAATCTGCATTCTTCCAATTACTAATAGAGGTAACTAACATTGATTCTAGTTTATTAATTATTTACAACAAGAATAACATAATTAATTTTCTTCAATAACTTATGCACATAGCATACTGGAGATTAAATAACATCTGTCTATTTTCAAAATTCTATGTTATATAATTCAATGTATAGGAATTAAAAATGCCAACATGGGCAGTTAAAGTTCATCTTGTCGGTAACAGGTCCTGATGAGGATCCTGATGAGCTTATGTAATTTAGAGATGCAAAGAATGAATGTCTCAATAACAGTAGGAGAGCCATTAACCTTGGAAAAAAATCCAATTATAACCAGGACTCTGCTCACCAAAACATCTTAGTCGTTGCAGATAGCCTAAGGCAAGCAATCTAGTTTTAATTAACATGGGAAGCAAAGAGTCTCATTAACAATGATGATAGTCACAGATACATCGAAATACAAACATTTTGGATAAAAGCCTGTAGTCCTAAACACAACAAGCTGTGGAAATTGGGGAACGAATACAGTTTAATGAATCATTGTCAGCTATTTGGAATATTTCCTGGAAGGATCTTGTAAAGTATATCATGCATTCAAACACGTAAGTTTAAAAAAAAAAAAAAGTGTTCAATAATATTATATAATTTATGTAAATTCCCTAGCTGTGTTGTAAAAAATGTTGTTAAATAATTAAAATAAATATACGAATGGGAGACACTCAAAGAACATACATTTTATAAAAGTGGTGCTTTCTATTGACAGATGCCCCATTAGAAGCAGTGCCGGGCTAGGGACCTCATGGGCATGGAGATGAAAATTACTGTGGGACTAATTACAAAATGTAATTTTAGTTTCTTGTACTTAAAAGACCATGTGCATGATCTCTGTCTGCGACTAGACTTTACATTCATCCATAAAACCATGCCCACATGCATACACACACATACATATATATACTTAGAATTTCTAGCATATGAAATCTATTTTCACCAGTAGGCCAAAGCACAGAGATATCCACTGAAAGAGCAATGAGTACTGGATGATGGGATACAAGGAATCCAGTCTTTAGTTATAGAGCACAGGGGCACTTAGTGTAACAAACATAGAGTAGAGATAGGAGGAATATAATGCAGAGATTATGTGTTCTGAGGCCAGGCTTATTCCGCAAATGGGGTAAAGTCATTATAGGGGAGAAGGCTCAAATATGAGACCGATTCATATAGTGTGGACAGGGCCGGTGCAAGGATTTTTGCTGCCCTAGGCAAAAGAAGGATTTGCCGCCCCTTCCCCCCCCCCCCGGAACATCGCAATGCCCCACCCGTAGAACTAATGCCAGTGCTGCACACAGTGTGTGTTTACATTAAAAAGCCTGCAGGCACAAACTATAGACACCAGAACAACTTTATTAAGCTGCAGTGGTTCTGGGGACTATAGTGTCCATTTAATGTGAGGTAAATTAGATATTAGTGTCACTAATAATATACTAGATTGCCTACTTACAACCAGATGAGGATGATGATGGGCTCTGGCTCCACTGGTCTGGTGTAGAACAGGATCTCTGGAGGCTGTTTGTAACTGTGGTCACAAAATTCAATGTTCTGGGAGAACGGGAAGCAGCTCCATTTTTTGGGGCCTCTTACACAGCTCAAGGTCTGGGCCCCAGGGCCTGACGGTGAGTATGCCCATAAAGCCCACCCATAAGTCCACCTACATGTTCCACCCATGAGTTCGCTCACAGGGAGTGGAGTGTGTAGGGGATGTGTTATGTGTTACTGTAGAGGATCTAATGTGTGTGCTTACATAATGTAGTGTATAGGGATACCAGTTTGTGTAGGTGATGCAGTGTGTTTGTGTGTAGTGGAAGCAGTGTGTGTGTGTGTGTGTGTGTATAAGGGATGTATTGTGTGTTTCTTGTTGTGTGTAAGGGATGCATTGTGTGAATCTGTGTTTGTATGCATAAGGGATGCAAAGTGTGTTTCTGTGTATGTAAGGGATGCAGTGTGTGTCTGTAAGGGGTGCGTTGAGTGTGTGTAAGAGATGCATTGTGTTTCTGTGTGTGTGTGTAAGAGAAGCAGTGTGTGTTTGCATGTGTGTGTAAGGAATGCATTGTGTGTTTCTGTGTATATGTGCAAATGATGCATTGTCTTTATGTGTAAGGGTTGCATTGTGTGTTTTTCTGTGTGTAAGGGAAGCATGTTGTGTTTCTGTGTGTATAGGGATGCATTGTGTGTGTGTGTGTGTGTGTGTGCGTGTGTGTGCGTGGTGTGAAAGAGCTCCCTGTCCCCCTGTCCTATAGAGCTCTCCCTTCCATTTCTTAGAGATCTCCCCTGCCCCTTAGTGGTCTCTCCTTTCCCCCCCACCTCCCTTAGTGGTCTCCTTTTCTCCCCGACTTTCCATTAGTGGTCTCTCCTCTCCCCCCACCCTTCCCTAGTGGTCTATCCTCCACCCCCCTCCCTTAGCGGTCTCTCCTCACACCCCTCCCCTAGTGGTCTCTCCACCGCCCCCTCCCTCCTTTAGTGGTCTCTCCCTCCCCTATGTTCTCATCTCCCACCCCTTGTGTTCTCCTCTTATTCCCCCCCTCCCTGTGTTTTCCTCTTATTCCCCCCTCCCTGTGTTCTCCTCTTCTTCTCCCCCTGTAATCTTCTCTTCTTCTCCCCCCTCCCTGTAATCTTCTCCCCTCCCCCTTGTAATCTTCTCCCCCCTTCCCTCCCTGTAATCGCTGCTTCTCCCCCCGTAATCTTCTCTTCTTCTCCCCCCATAATCTTCTCTTCTTCTCCCCCCCAATCTTCTCCCCCCTCCCATCAATCATCTCCCCCCCACTTCCCTCCCATCAATCATCTCCCCCCCTCCTTCCCTCCCATCAATCATCTCCCCCCTCCCTCTCTCTTATCAAATCTCCCTCCCCTCAATCATCTCCCCATCCATCATCCCCCTCCTCCCTCCATCAATCTCACTCCTCCCTCCCATCAATCATCTCCCCCTCCCCCATCAATCATCTCCCCCCTCCTCCCCATCAATCATCCTCCCCCTCCCTCCCATCAATCATCCCCATCTCATCCCATCCTCCCTCCCTCCCCATCCAATCATCTCCCCCCTCCCTCCCATCAATCATCCCTCCCCATCAATCATCTCCCCCCCCTCCCTCCCCATCAATCCCATCTCCCCCCCTCCCTCCCATCAGCTTCACCTCACCTCCCCTTCCCTGCTGTAGCGTGGCCGAGCTCCTTTCCGGTCCCGCGACCCGGCGGGACTGACAGGAATATACACAGGGGAGGTGAGGCACTGTGGCAGCCGCCTGAGCGCTCTCTATAGAGCGCTCAGACGGCTGCAGAATTTAAAGGGCCGGCGATGGGGGCGCACGGCGCCTCCTCCTATAGTTCGCCTTATAGGAAGCGCCGGCCCTGAGTGTGGATGCACCATCTGTAAGCTGGCTATGCAGAGGGCTACAGAACCATAGTAAGAATAATAGAGGCAATGTCCGGGAAGGTGCTAAATCCAAGGGAAAACTGCCAGGAATGCATAGTAGAATTAACTAACAATATACACAAAATATAGGTTTCACCAATATAAAGTCCAGTAAGTCCACAATTGCTGGAGTCTGTTCTTAACTGGTAACCGCCCAGACTGCAAATGGTGGGAGTATATGGCATAAAAGCAGAAAATAAATCAATACACTGAAATTAATACCATACAGGAGCACACTATATAATATATAATCTTTATTAGAAGATAAACATAATAACTTGTTTTTTTGTTTTCCATTTTATCTTTAAACCTGAAACAGTGAAAAGTATGGTGATTACCTGTTTGTTAAATTTTGCTACTGCGATATACTTTCTGTAAATGCATTCTGCTTTGGAGTAAATTTATGGATTATTGAAATTTTGGATTTTCTAACAATGGTTATTATTTTTTGTATGGTATTACTTTCACTGTACTGTAAGTTTGAGCCTGACATTGGTATCCATTATTTTTAAGTTGGTGGGGCACGTCATTCCATTTATGGGCAAAGGTTGTACAAGGGCCTTTAAACCATGGTATGGTCAGTGAAATTAAGTAGAACATGGATTTGCTTGCAAATAATTTCATATGAAGTAGGTGAGGCTGAAGTAGACATACCTTTCTACACATACACATGTGGTGATATTTTTTTGCCACTTTCATATAACCCTATGTTATTAGTTTCCTACATTGACTGCACTAGTTGCTCTAATCATCAAGGTTTTATAAATATGTCACGGCTTCTTTTCAGTTTCAGTAGCCTTTGTAGTTAGTGGATGAAGTCTAGAAATGTATTCTTCTATAGAATGAGATTACAAAGAATATAGAACATAATCTATTCACATCATCTGGACCTGTATCTATCTATTCTATTTATTATGTTGATCTTTTTCTAATTGTTCTAGCATTATCTATGTAACTACACTTGATAGCAATCTGTAGCAGTATCTGTGTAACTACACTTGTTAGCAATTCATAGCAGTATCTTTGTAACTACACTTGATAGTAATTAATTGCAATATCTATGTAACTACACTTGATAGCAATTCATAGCAGTATCTATGTAACTACACTTGATAGTAATTCATTGCAAAATCTATGTAACTACACTTGATAGCAATTCGTAGCAGTATTTGTGTAAATACACTTCATAGCAATTCATAGCAGTATCTATGTAACTACACGTGATAGCAATTCGTAGCAGTATCTATGTAACTACACGTGATAGCAATTCATAGCAGTATCTCTGTAACTACCCTTCATAGCAATTCGTTGCAGTATCTGTGTAACTACACTTGATAGCAATTCGTAGCAGTATCTATGTAACTACACTTGATAGCAATTCGTAGCAGTATCTGTGTAAATACACTTCATAGCAATTCATAGCAGTATCTATGTAACTACACGTGATAGCAATTCGTAGCAGTATCTATGTAACTACACGTGATAGCAATTCATAGCAGTATCTCTGTAACTACCCTTCATAGCAATTCGTTGCAGTATCTGTGTAACTACACTTGATAGCAATTCGTAGCAGTATCTATGTAACTACACTTGATAGCAATTCGTAGCAGTATCTGTGTAAATACACTTCATAGCAATTCATAGCAGTATCTATGTAACTACACGTGATAGCAATTCGTAGCAGTATCTATGTAACTACACGTGATAGCAATTCATAGCAGTATCTCTGTAACTACCCTTCATAGCAATTCGTTGCAGTATCTGTGTAACTACACTTGATAGCAATTCGTAGCAGTATCTGTGTAACTACACTTGATAGCAATTTGTAGCAGTATCTTTGTAACTACACTTGATAGCAATTTTTAGCAGTATCTGTGTAACTACACTTGATAGCAATTCGTAGCAGTATCTGTGTAACTACACTTGATAGCAATTCGTAGCAGTATCTCTGTAACTCTACTTGCAATGGTAGTTCACAGAGATGGCAGCCTGTAGTAAAGGTTTTAAGTACAGGTTTCATTGTGAGCCAGGAAGGAAGAAATTTAGAGTTGAAATGATGGTAACAAGTAACATGTGAAATGCATTGGCTTAGATTTAGGCTCTGAAAAGTCATCCTGAGAAATGCAATACTCATTTGGTCTGCTATGTCTTCCCCTTTGCCTCTCTTGCTTTAATAATGAGGCATTTCAGAAAGGCTGAAGAAAAGAGCCAATAAATCTGCAGCCTTAAGCTAAATACACTTAAAATGTTTTGTGATTTAAGTCGTCCTATGAAGCACTCAATCCAATAATACCTTTGTTTAGACAGGAAATGCACGCCAGCATTTTATTACTCTTCTGTGTGCGTCTGTCAAACTGTATTTTCTTTGATTCAGATAAGCACCATACCATTTATTTGTATTAAGAAGTGTGTGTGATACAGAGTTCAACCCCCCCATTCTATGTGTACTCTATCATGGTTTATTGTATAATAATCAGAAAGATAGCTTAATAATAAAAAAAAAAGAGCAGGGATTACTGTGCTGTCAAACATATAACCTGAAATGTAATGGCAAAAGACAAAGTTCAATCGATTAGTCTGTACTGTAGAGTTGTACTCGTTGGTTTAAGGAAATTTCGTCTTGTCGGATGGTTACATAGAGAGGGCTAGGTTTAGTTGGATGCAAATCCTGCATGTCTTCACCGCTTTCTCTACCAAGAAAACCATAGACATTTAATAGTTATTGTAGCTATTGTCATTAGAGTTACTTGCCTCATTGTGTCCCCTAAACCACTACAGGAATGTTTTTAATTTATTTGTATTTGGGGAGTCTATTTTTCACACACACCACACAAATCTGTATGTATGAACTTACTACATAATCTAGCTGTTCTTTCAATGGGCATATCAAATGTTTAAATCCCGTGTTGCGTGGTAGTTGATGTCTTTACAGAATTTAAAAAAACAAAACAAACAAAAAACATATTGCATGGAATCACTCACACTGTGCATTGGTTAATATTGTACTTCAGTGCACACCAAGATTGGGATGAGCTTTGCACTTGCTCAAGGTGATCTGCAAAGCATTCCTAACTTGGGATGACCCCATGGGTCTGTCACCAGACATCATATGTGACTGCCTAGACAATTGTAGATAGAGCAAGTGCAAGGCTAGTTAGAGAGCTTATACTCAAGCTACATACTCATGATCCTAAGAAGGGTAAATGCTATTATGAGAGTTTTTATTCTGAATTAATGGTTTGTGGTTTGCTTATCCAAAACTACTGGCCACAGGCTAAAATGTCTTAGACAATGTTTACGCACAGCCGTCATAACACACAACGGTAACCTAGCTGTTATCTGCAATCTTTCCTGTAGACAAAACCACAGCACAATATAGTTATGCAATAGTTAATAGAAAGGAGTACATAAATTATGGCACTTAAAACAAAAATATGAAGTGTCGTAACCTTAGGGAGCTTGGTTGTACAAGCTCTAGCTCTTGTCCTTTACGTAAAACCAGCTCCCATGTTTGTTGTGGCTGGTGTGAGCCCTGTGGAGCTTCAGGTGGATGCTTAAAACTACAAGAATGCATCCTTTGTAAACATGAAACAACTTGCAGATATAGTCGATGCAATTATTAATGTCAAGTTCAAGTTTTAATGTGTGTAAAATAATGGCTATTAAACATACCTGTTTAAAGAATCCTTGGATATGCAAAGTATCATATATTTAAATGGTGTTTAACATAATAAGGTTACTTCTTGGAAGTATGGGTGGTTGGGTAGATGCATGGACGGATAGACAGACGGACCGTTTGGTTTTTAATGCATTTTCTCCACTCCTAATCACAAAATTCCAGAGGAGTAGCTTGCACAGTTTTGAGTTTATCGCACAATTTTATAGCAGTAACATTCTCAATAATCGGCACAAACTCACGTGAGTGTATCAAAGAGTGCCTTAGCAATTAAACGTAAAAAATATTTACAGTGTTCTATGACAATAGAACTCAAACTAATATGCAGTATGTACGTAAATCACAGAGCCCCACCATACTAAAAATCAGAATGATATGTGTATATAGAGATATATGGATGTATCACAAAGCTCCACAGCAAAACAAGTAATTGTAATAGACAACGCAAACAGAGATTCACAGAGCTCCACCTTAATAAAATTCACAATAATGTTCAGACATGTAGAAGTGTATAACAGTGGTCCACAGCAATTAAACTAACTGTAACATGCTGTTTGGATGAATGTATCACTGAACTCCACCGCAAAAAAAACTCACAGTAATTTGTGTTTAATGGCCAATAAATGTGTTTATAAGTTAACATTGTAAAATGCCGAATAAAGACTCAAGCCATCAAGTTTGACCTTTCACACATCCCTTTGCTGCTGTTGAAAAGGCAAAAAAAAAACACACACTGAAGTGATTTACAATTTTGCCTCAAGGGGAAAATTCCTTCTTGACTCCAGAATGAATTTATCCCTGAAACAACAAGCTTTTACAATAATATTTAATGCATCATTCTGACTTTGTATATTCAACCATTTTTAAAAAAATGCATCTAGTCCTTATTAACTGGATGTACATGTATTGACTATGATAGCACCACTCTTCTAGGCTCTTCATATATATTTTTCTTATCGTAAAGTGTCATATCTTTTTCCAAAGTCTCAATTAAAAGATATTGGTCTTTGCCCTGTTTTATTAATGAACATGACAGGTCACCGTCGCCAACGAGTATTGTTTGTATCATGTTTGTAAGATGCCTTTCAGAGGATTTATTCATTAAACTCCAATTTGTAGCCAACTGGAATCTAAATGGGGAAATATGGGCCAAAGTAGCTGAAGCAGAACATTTCTTCAAATCAGTTACAGCTTTGGTATTGTAGTCTAAATAGTAGGCATGTGCATGGGGAAAATTTTCGGTTCGGCACGGCATTACGAAATTCGTGACTTGCGCAATTCGGGACTTCTGCAATTCAGCACTTCGACACTTCAGAACTTCGGCAAATTCGGCACTTCGGAACGTCGACACTTCGGTAATTGCGGAACTTCGGCAATTCAGTAATTAATCTATTCGGACATTCGGAAGTACCCGAATGTCCGAATTGCCCAAAATTCGTCTGAATTCACATTTGGACCAAAACGAATTGCACATGTCTACTAAATAGTATCATTCACATTGCAGTTCTCTACAATTCAGAGTTAAGTGGTTAAATCCTAGAGTGCAAACATCTACAAATGTAAAAAACTACCAACCTTTCATCACAACTATATTCATTTTAAAAATTTCCGCTTTTTTTTTCCAATATTTTTTTCCAATATTTTTTTATTAATTTTGGGGCACTGGTGCTCAGACCTCCACTGCACAATTAAAATTGGATATCAATTGGATATACTTTACTAGTGATTTATAAAGAAGGTCTGATTTTATCCCCATGAATCAGTGCTCATACAATAATTATATTTATAATGTATACCACTTTGCATTTAATGCAGGCTTCCCAACAGTCCCATTTTTTGTGGCACAGTCCCTATTTTAGGGTCCTTTCCCACTCTCTTGTTTTCTGGTGTCCATATAAGGAATTACTAGAGAACTGTCCCCTTTTAATACAGTGTGAGCGTATCATTAGACCACCCCCTTTTTTTCCCAAACACTCTTCAAAAAGTGACTAACCACTTAAAAGGATGAGATGTGTAGTGTGATATGGGCCCTTTTGAAAGGAAAGGCTTCTATGATAACAAAAAAAAATCACAATAATATATTAAATAATTTATAATAAAAGCCATTTGTCATATTCTGAACTAAACACACTTACCCTCAAAGCTTTTCATTTACATCTGTCTCTCTAAGAATAGCACTGTAATTCTTTCTAAATTAATTTTACGCATTTCTTTTGTATTTTTTTTGTACACATTAACACAAGATTTCAAGACATCTTCAGTTGTTAAAACACAATCAGGCAACATTAGAGTTGCTAAGCCATCGCCGAATGACAGCACAATTGTTTCGGTCACCAAGTAAAATAAACCTTTGTGCTGATGTAAGAACTAATTAAACTCAGCTATTTTTAATGTTACACTTATTGTATAATTCATTTTTTATTGTTTTAAACAAATAATATTGCATTGCTCAGTTACCAATATGACACATTTTAACTCTAATGGAATTTGGCGGAGACATGCAAAGCTTTTTACAATTTACAACAGCTAGCTAAAAATGAACCGTGTGTTGTGCTTTTATTTTACTAAAATTCTATGCAGTTTTTTTCCCCTTAAATTATTTATATGACGTGTTGAGCATAGCACGTAACATTAACCCCTCAGTGCTGCCTTTGAGACATCCGAAAGAATATACTACTTTGCCTGTGTTCATACATCATTTTTATGATTAGGTGAGCTGGCCACAAAGTACTGCCCTTTAAGCGTTACCCCAAGTACCATGACCACATCAGTGTTTTGAAGTGGTTGTGGTGCTTGCAGTTCAGTGACATTTTAGTTTGCTGCTGGATGTGTAACTTCACGTCCTGCAGTGTCATCTGCTAAAATGGAATGAGATATCTGGCTGGCTAATGTGATGTTCTATGTATATTCTTTGGCTGAGAATTATCAGTTGACCATCTCTGTTAACGAATGACTAGTGGCAGCATTTGGCCACTGTAGCTTTACGAGGAGACTCAGTGCTTGGTGGGACCCAGGTTTGAGAGCACACTATTGCAAAGTGTTTTACTCCATTACCAGGGGACAGCACCCGCCTGCAGTGGATGTGATGCTTGCAGTAACCCTTTAACTGCTTCATTGAAAGGCTAATTAATCAATCTGTTTATGAGGTCATATGGTAAAGGACATTACCTGCAATTTTCCTCGGGGAAAAGCGGAACCAGAACAAAATGCTACTACCATTTCCTGAAAATGTGCTAACCCTAAAGCTCAACTCATCTGATATCACAATCAGAATCTCTGGGGTAGATCAGGTCAGTTCTCGGGTATGGTGATTAAAATGAGAAATGTTTACAGGTCTTCTAGGAAAATAATATATTTATCTTATCTATTCCACACACTGTATAAAGATTCCATCTGCAAATGGCTCAAAATATTGCAGTGAAGGAAATGAATGGAAAATATGTATTAGAACGTATTTATTAGAACAGCAATTCAGAGAAAGAGGAGTGTATTTATTCTTAGTTTTGACTGTTTCCCAGGCATTCTCACAGTTGTAGCAGTAGACAAAATGTTTTCTAGTTTCTGGGAAAAAAATAAATAAACTTGTGTTGCTGCATCTCCAGTTTATAAGCCAATCACCTTGCCAGTTGTCGTAGACAATAAATTATTTCTTACTCTATTCCTGATGAGAATTATCCAAAAAAGGACTGGGGAATGGAATTCCAAATGTTACAGTGTATCTCCTATTATCCAGTCCAGTTTAATCTAATAATTTGTAAAATTTGTTGTATACAGAACTTTATTAACCAAAGAAAAACAAATTTAGCTTTATATTTGTGCATATTGCACAGCATCTTACTTTCAGTGTGTACTACCTAATTCAGACATCTGTGGCTTTGAATAATGCTGGAGTAATTCATTAATAGAGGGTTTCTATTTGTTGCAAAAAATTCGAACATCTTCCACGATTGAAGATTTATCACTATAGTCACTGCTCAAGACCAGTATCCTAATATAAGTTCCATTGGCGGAACTAATAGAGAGAGGACTCTGATGCAAAATGAATACATTTTTAAAGAGTATGGGTGGCAGATAGTCAACTGCCGCACATCAAATGCTTTGCCAGGTGTGAATCTGCCTGACCCACTGAGGCCCGCGTGCAGTTCTACGAGCTGCACCATTTTATTTCTGCAATTGACAAGTGCAATCAATTCAAATGTGATATTTGATATACACTGTGATGGTTTATTAGAAGTTAATGTTATATTTCATTAACTAGGTACTGTACTATTCATCTGAATATTTATCAGCGATATGCATTCCATATCTTACTGTTTACTTAAGTATAAGTCCATAGATTTCTCCATTATGGCTCTTACACTTGTAGGGTCCCCAAAACGTTGGCTTGAAGAGTAGGCTTGGGTTGAAGGTGGTCCCCTGTTACGCTGTCATTACACATAGTAGAATATAACTGCAACTATAAGCTTGTTCATTCTATTTCTAAACAGTGGTTTATGAAATGAGACTCTTCTTGGCCAGTGCAAGTGAAGCAGCTTTAGGAACTTCAAAGGTATCTATATTTATATTTGTTTAAAGAATTATAAACAATTCTGCATTATACATAATGCATAATGCAGAAAAGAAAAACAAACAAAGTGAGAGTTGGTTTCAGATCTGGAGCATTCCTTTGTGCTTTCTAAAAGTGTAAACTATGCATTTCTTTAGAAATGTTTAGTTATGCTGGATTTTGTTCAATCTAGATTTCATTGGTAAGATTTGTTCTAAATATGTTTCCTGTGCTCCCTACGATCCTTCAAAAGTTAATTTTCTTTGCCTTTTATTTTTTTGTTTTGTTTCTAAGACAATAATATAATTTTTTCAGATTTTTAAAAAGTTTTTTAATTTCTATTAAATGTAGTTTTCATTCTTTTTACTCTCTCACATATTTCCTGTTCTATACCATTCAACATTTATTTTTGTTATGTTACTAAACCTTATACTAATACCTTATCAAAGAAACCTTTGCAGATCTTCTATCAAAATGGAATTTCACACTCATTAATTTTCACAAAATATTATTTTTAATATTTTGTCCTGCAATGATCTCTACACCACATGGTCCAATGTGTCATTCCATTTTATCATATATTTTTTTCTTGGTGATTTTTGTATCATTAGGCATGTTGGGATGTAAATAATGCCAGAGAGTTATGTTGTTGAGTTGCTGTGTGTGGCAGGGTTATGCATATATAGATGTAAACACATATTTAAACTTTTTCCGTTTCACAATCTTTTTGTGTTTAAGTATCATTATTTTTCCCCCCATATAATTACAGTTTGTTATTTAGTTGCCTAACTTGTTGTTGTAATTCCTAGTATCAAGATTTTTTTTTTGTCCAGATGTTCTAGGTATGTTTGTTATCCAGATGTTCATTACAGACCAGTTAATTGTACAGTTAAAAAATTGCCTTTGTTTTGTCAGTCTGCATCCCTTAATTTCTCCCTGGGTCCCCGTCGACCCATCTGTACTTTTGGAAATATGTGGAAAATAAAGCATCTCATTATACTCTTAACTATGTAACCTGAGTTTTATAAATAAATAAATAAATAAAAAGTAGAACGTATGTTTATTTTTACTTAACAAATAATCTCTTATTCTACAACATAGTTGTTTTTTTTGTTAGACAAGAAAACACAACCTGTTGATACAGGAAATCAATTTTTGAGGAAAAAAAAAAAAAAAGAGTCAAACGTGTGTGGAATAGATTAATATTGATTCAAAATTCAAGAAGATGTGGGATTTGTCTAATTGATTTTGGGAAGTGTGAAAGAGGAAGGTAGTGTCTCCTTTCAACAACACTATTGGGATAGAAATTAGACACTTAAGATGCTAGCAAGATTGCGAGTTTAACTCAGTGCACATCATGCCGCATGTATGCATGCCTGGATGATTCTGTCCAGGGTCCATACCTCTGTGGTGGGTGTGAGCGAGTGGCATTTTTGGAAGCTCAGATTAGAGATCTGGAGAGGCAAATTGTAACACTGAGGGAGATTGACAATCTTGAGAGGAGTCTGCTACTCACTGAGCAGAGTTTAGTGGGGACAGGTAGTGGAGAGGGAGGAGATAAGACAGATGGGGAACAGGCATGTAGCTGGGTGACAGTGGGGCGAGGAAGCAGGGTGGGGAGGGAAGAGAAAAGGTTTAGCTAGTCCTGATCTCATGCAGCCTAACAGATTTGCCCATTTGAGTGACGATATTGGGAGCATCAGCTCAGGAGTAGCTGTACTGCAGGAAGCAGTTGGGGTTGAGAGGGTAAAGAAGTCTAGACAGGTTGTGGTGGTAGGGGACTCTATTATTAAGAGCGTAGATAGGGTAATCTGCCACTCTGATCGACTCGACCGGACAGTTTGCTGTCTTCCGGGTGCTCGGGTCCGGCATGTTGCCGACAGAGTGGAGGGATTATTGGGAGGGGCAGGTGATGACCCAGCTGTCATGGTCCATATTGGTACCAATGACAAAGTCAGAGGAAAATGGAAGGTCCTAAAGAATGAGTTCAGGGAACTAGGAAGTAAGCTAAAGAAAAGGACCTCCAAGGTAATTTTTTCAGAAATATTACCTGTGCCGCGCGCTACAGCAGAAAGGCAGCGGGATATTAGAGAGGTCAATGCGTGGCTAAAGTCTTGGTGCAGGAATGAGAGTTTGGGGTTTTTAGAGCACTGGGCTGATTTTGCGCTTGGGTACAACCTGTATAGTCATGATGGATTGCACCTAAACGGAAGAGGGTCTGCTGTGCTGGGGGATAGGACGGCTAGAAGGTTGGAGAAGATTTTAAACTAGTGGTAGGGGGGAGGGTCAAATCAATCTAGAAAATGGAGATAGGATGGAAAGGAGATGGGCTTTAGCTCAGAACAAAGGGGGTGGAGAAGGGGGGAGGGGAAAGCTCAGAACAGAGGAGGTATGTAATATTGATAATTCACAAAAAGTACAAAAGACTCATGATAATATTAAATGTATGCTTACTAATGCAAGGAGCCTATATAACAAAATGTGGAACTAGAGGCAATAGCAAACAATAAACAATATGATATAATAGGCATAACAGAAACATGGTGGGATGAGACACATGACTGGGCAGTTAATTTAAATGGGTACACGTTATTTAGGAAGGATAGGAAAAACAAGAAGGGTGGTGGGCTATGTTTATATGTCAACCATGAGTTAAAGTCAAATCTTAGGCATGTGTAGAGTGACGAGGAAAATGTGGAGGCTTTATGGGTAGATATCTGCTTGGGGCAAACAAACGGAAATCAATTATTGGTTGGGATATGTTATAAACCACCTAATGTAAATATTATTGAGGAAGAACAACAGTTAGAGCAAATTGAGAAAGCTGCAAATCGAGGTAACACGTTAATTATTGGAGATTTTAATTACCCAGACATAAATTGGGATAGAGGGACTACTACTTTAGGAAGGGGAATCCGGTTTTTGAATGTGTTAAATGACACCTTTATGTCACAACTGGTACAAGCACCAACTAGAAAGGATGCTTGTCTGGATCTCGTCATAACAAACAATGTTGATCTTTTAACCCCTTCAGGACGGAGTCGATAGTGCACGTTCTGATCAAAACAAAATGTAAACAAAAACTGGAATTTGCGCTATATGTCTGTTCAACCGTTATTCTCCGCTGTCACATGAAGTGCAAAAAACTTCACTTTTACTTAAAACATCATCGTTGTAATACAATTTACCAGTTTGAAACACTAATGTTTGAGTTCAACGAAGTCTCCTGAGTAAAACAGTACCCCTTATGTACAGGTTTTATGGTGTCTTGGAGAGTTACAGGGTCAAATATAGTGCTTGCAAATTAAATTCTCTGCACTTTCTCCTTGTGTTGTCAGGCATGTCAATCAAATTTTAATTAATCAAATTACATAATTATGCTAAAAGATTACTTAAATATACATGTAGAATTTTAATATATATGCATTTATAGGTATTTAAATTCTACGTGTATACTAATGTAATCTTTTATGTAATTATATGTATTTATCTATATATATATATATTTGTGGTTATTTGTATTTTATATATAGATAGATATATATAGAATGTCATTCTAAGTGTATTTTGTTACCGATATATATATTAATAACAAAATACAGTTAGAATGAAATTACATATGAATATATAATTTATATAAAATTTTGTTTCAATATTTTATTTATTTTATTATTTTATTTTTTTATTATTGTAATTATACATATATATATAATATATGTGTATATATCTATTATATATATATATTATATATATGCAACGTCATTCTAAGTGTATTTTAATACTAATATATGTACTTATATTAGTATTAAAATACACTTTGTATGACGTTACATATATATAATATGTATGTATATTATATATATATATATATATATATATAAATACATTTAATTTATTTTAAAACATGTTTAATCATTTTTTTTACACTTCCCACCAGCAGGGGGACTGTGACATTTCAGACAGTCCCCCTGCTGGCAGATCCACAGCCAGCTATAGGGGGCCATGTGGTCGCCTCATTTGCCGGGGGAGGGCTGCCTGGGCTGTCAGGCAATCCTCCCGAAGCGGAGCGCCGGTAAAGTGAGTATACCGGGCGCTCCAGGGCCTTCAGCCATTACGGCGTTCTATGCTGCCGCAACGTCTTTAAAGCCCATTTAATGTGGGATGGCATAGAACACCGTAACGGTGTTAAAGGGTTAACCAACATTCAAGTAGGGGAGCATTTGGGAAATAGATATCACAATATTGTAAATTTTGAAGTAAACTCAAAAAAGCAAAATCAAGTGGGGTATACTAAAACATATAATTTAAAAAAAGCCAATTTCAATAAGATTAGGGCAGCTCTACAACATATCGACTGGCATAAACTCCTTAGTGATAAAAACACTGAGGATAAATGGAAAATATTCAAACAAATATTAGAAAGGTACATTTCTCAGTATGTACCATTGGGTAATAAATATAAAAGAAACAAATTAAAACCAATGTGGCTTGGTAGAGAAGTAAAACAAGAGATTAAAAATAAGAAAAGGGCATTTAAAGCATTTAAATCAGGCAAATCAGAGGCATCCTATTTAAGATATAAGGAAGCCAATAACGCTTGCAAAAAGGCAATTTAAGTGGCTAAACTAGAAAATTAGAAATTGATAGCTAAAGAATGCAAAACCAACCCCCAAATTTTTTTCAAGTACATCAATTCTAAAAAAACAAAAAATGAATGTGTAGGTACACTGGAAACAGAGTTGGGTTTATTAGCTAATGAAGACCAGGAAAACGCTTACATTTTAAATAACTATTTTCCTTCAGTATATATTAATTAGGATTCTATGGCAAGAGATATGCAAATGATTGCTGCAAAAAACTTGCAAATAACTTGTGATTGGATAACTCGAGACAAGGTGCTACAGCTATTAAAGAAAATTAATGTAAATAAAGCTCCGGGACCTGATGGTATTCACCCACGAGTACTTAAGGAGCTAAGTGGGGAAATAAGTGAACCTCTGTATTTAATTTTTCAAGATTCTTTTGTTTCAGGTGTTGTACCGGAGGATTGGAGGAAGGCAGATGTTTTTCCTATATTTAAAAAGGGTTCAAAATCCTTGCCTGGAAATTATAGACCTGTGAGCTTAACTTCTGTAACTGGGAAAATATTTGAAGGGCTATTAAGGGATAATATTCAGGAATTCATTGGGAAGAACTTTGTTATTAGCAAAATTCAGCATGGTTTTATAAACATAGGTCATGTCAAACTAACCTAATTGCATTCTACGAAGAAGTAAGTAGAAGTATAGATCACGGTGTTGCAGTGGATGTGATCTACTTGGATTTTGACAAGGCATTTGATACGGTTCCTCACAATAGGTTAGTCTTCAAACTAAAAGAAATTGGTCTTGATGAATATTCTTGTTCTTGGGTAGAACATTGGCTTAATGATAGAGTACAACGAGTTGTAATTAATGGTAAATTTTCAGGCTGGACTAGAGTGGTAAGTGGTGTCCCTCAGGGTTCTGTTTTGGGACCACTTCTATTTAACATATTTATAGAGGATCTTGAAATAGGCATTGAAAGCCATGTATCAGTGTTTGCAGATGACACAAAACTTTGTAAAGTAATAAAATGTGAGCAGGATATTGCTTTGCTGTAGAGGGATTTTGGTTGATTGGAGGACTGGGCACTAAAATGGCAGATGAAATTTAACGCAGAGAAATGCAAAGTTATGCACTTCAGGGTTAAGAATACACAAGCAACTTACACACTAAATGGTAGTGAATTAGGGTTAACCATACACGAGAAGGATTTGGGAATTGTTATAGACAACAAATTAGGCAGCAATATGCAATGTCAATCTGCAGTTGCTAAGGCCAGTAAGGTTTTGTCATGTATAAATAGGGGCATAAATTCTCGGGATGAAAATATAATTTTGCCTCTTTATAAATCGCTGGTAAGACCACACCTTGAATATGCTGTGCAATTTTGAGTGCCTGTTCTAAAGAAAGATATCATGGCACTAGAAAAAGTCCAGAGATGAGCTACAAAATTGATAAAAGGAATGGAGCATTTTAGTTATGAAGAAAGGCTAAAAAATTTAAATCTGTTTAGTTTGGAAAAACGGCGCCTGAGAGGGGATATGATAACTTTATACAAATATATTCGGGGCCAGTACAAACCTTTATCTGGAAATCTATTCATAAACAGGGCTATACATAGGACACAAGGTCACCCATTTAGGCTGGAAGAAAGGAGATTTCATCTAAGGCAAAGAAAAGGTTTTTTTACAGTACGAGCAATAAGGATATGGAATTCTCTGCCTGAAGAGGTGGTTTTGTCCAAGTCACTACAGATGTTTAAACTGCAATTGGATAAATACTTACAAAAACATAACATACAGGAATATAATTTCTAATTAGTGGGGTAATAGCTGCTTGATCCAAGGAGACATCTGGCTGCTATTTTGGGGTCAAGAATGAATTTTTTTCCTAGTTTGTGGCAAAATTGGTAGTGCTTCAGACTAGGTTTTTTTGCCTTCTTTTGGATCAACAGCAACAACATATGTGAGGAAGGCTGAACTTGATGGACGCAAGTCTCTTTTCAGCTATGTAACTATGTAAGATCAGGTACTGGCAGGGCGTACCTAGAGTATTTGGCACCCGGGAAGGGTCCTATTTTTGGCACCCCTCCCCCACACCTTTAGTGTATTTAGCACTAATCAGTGTTTGTGTGTTTACATGTTAGCATGTTTATGTATGGAGTAGGTGTGAGTGAATGTAAGTGTGTGTTTGTATGTAGTGTTGACGTTGAAATGCAGGGGTGTATTTGTGTGTAGGGTTGGCTAGATTCTGAGCTGTATGCACATATACACACTGACACACATGCACATGCTGGCATCAGACAACAAATTTGCATAGAATTCACATTAGCCATCCAGATTTCTTGTTGTGGGCTGGCTGACACCTCTAAACATCGATATTTGTTTTGATGTATAACTCCCCAATTTGCTATCCATATGCGGGATTGCCATATTTAAGGTGCTATCTGCTAAACAGCAAAACAGCACCCTAATTTGGTATCTTTAAATATAGAAATCTTACATAAGGGCACCAATTTAGGGAATTGTCTACTAAACAGCTAACAGATCAGATTTTAAAAAGCCCTTTTCTTAATTTTAATCTTTCAATAGTTTAGTATATAACTCACTTATTTGTTATCGTTATGTGAGATTCCAATATTTATTCACATAGATGTATGTCTGTGTGTACATCTGTGGTTGTGTATGTATGTTTTATATATATATATATATATATATATATATATATATATATATATATATATATATATACACATACATACATACATACACACACACATATATACATATATATACATATATATACATATATATATACACATATACATACATATACATACATATACATACATATATATATATATATATATATATATATACACACACACACATACACATACACCAACATAACCACAGACACACACACACACACACACAATTACAGACCCACACTACAATCACTGACTTACACACACAGTCACATACATAAACACAGACATACACAAACACAATCACAGACCTACACACATTCAATCACAGACACACAATCACATACACATATTATTAGATGTACACACACAATCATCACATACATACACACATTTAATAATTAAGAGGTCCGCCCAACCTTCCTACCTTGCTCTGGGAGGGTTGGAGTGGATCCTCAGTCCCTGGTGGTCAGTGGTTGCTGCTGGGATCTCTGTGCTCTTCCTGCACAGGTCCCTCGCACGCACTGTAATGACACTGATGCCGGGATGACGTCATATCCCAGATGCCGGCTCACTGCAGGGCGAAGACAGTCAGACACAGTCAGACGCACACAATGATACACATATACTGTCAAATACAGCCACAGGCACATAGTCACTAGCACACAGTCAAACACACCGTTACAGGCAGACAGTCTCACACAACTATAGGCAGACAGTCACACACACACAGTTACAGGCAGTGACACATACAACAGGCAGCATCACACGGTCACAGGCAGACAGTCACACACACACACTCAGTGACATGTAGACAGTCAAACACACAGTCACAGACAGACATTCACACACACAGTTACAGGCAGACAGTCACACATACAGTCACAGGTAGACAGTTACACACACGGTCAAAGGAAGTCACAAACAGTCACAGGCAGACAGTTGTGCACACAGTCACAGGCAGACAGTCATGCACTCAGTCACAGGCAGACAGTCATGCACTCAGTCACAGGCAGACAGTCACACACACAGTCACAGGCAGACAGTCGTACACAGAGTCACAGACAGACAGTCGCACATACAGTCACACGCAGACAGTCACAGACAGAGTCACAGATGTGGTCACATGCAGACAGTCACACATACAGTCACAGACAGACAGTTACGCATACAGTCACAGGAAGACAGTCACACACACACACACACACACAGTCACAGGCAGACAGATCCAATCACAGTTGCACACACACAGCACACCCTCTCTCTCACTTACTGGAGGAGGAGTGGAGTCAATGAAGTCCCTGGTCTGAAGTTGTTAGGGAAGCAGGGACTCCTTCCTACTTCCCCTCTGTGTGCAGCAGTAGCAGCTGCGGGAGGAGGCCGCCTTTAGCTCTGCCCCCGATGTCGATTTGACTCTGCCCCCAACTCTCCACAAAGTTCTCCTGCTCCCTGCCACTGCATGTGAGCTGTGTCGGCTGCCCGGCGCCCCTACTGCCATGGTGCCCTGTGCAGCAAAACAGCTTACACCCCCCCAATGCCAGGCATTGTGACCCCCCCCCTAACTTGTGGCACCATCCCCCCCCTTAGTACGCCACTGGGTACTGGGAATCCCCATGTATATTCACCTGTGGGAAAAGCAGAGTATTGAGGTCAGGGATGTTGGAACCCCTGTCTTTGCTTATAAAGAGAATGCAATAGCTGAGTGCAATTCAGGACTAGAGGATCTAAGGGCAGCCAGTGATCCTTTTTTTTTTTAATATGCAAGGGAATATAAACAGGCTTAAAGTTCCACACCAGCAAAAGTAGGCATGCAAAGAAACATACCAGATATATCATGGACATGACAGTTGCTGAATCTGCACAATTTTAAAAATAATAATAATGTACATAAAGTAAACAGGTTTGTTCAACATGTCCAGAGAGGTATTGGAGGATAGGCTTATGATTGATATCATAACAAGTGTGATACGCATGACTATATAGAGTAGTAAATGGACATTATTATAGAGTACCCTCCAGATATTAAGCTTTGATTCCACTGGATTTTTAAAGTAACTGAGAGAATCTGCATTAAGAATAAAATGATTACATAATAAGTAGTAAAGCAGTTGAGGGCTTTGCCATGCTTAAGCAATTAACCACTCCGGGAGGTAAGCCAACACCGCAGGCCGGCAAAAGCGAGAGGCAGTCCCCTTGCCAGGTACATCATGATCTCTCTTCGTTCGTTCAAGGGGGGTTGAGCTGTGTGTTGGTAAATAGGACAGAGTCTGCAGTTTCGCAGCCACTTTTCTTCCTGTTCCAGGGCTTTATTGGGTTCCCCTGTGTTTCAGGGCCCCTCTGACTTCAGGATAATAGACCTTTAGAGACTTATGAGTCCAGCAATAGCTAGCCACAGGATCAAGCCTCTGAGACCACCTCAGTGTACTTGGTAAGCCCAGCCAAGCGGGGACTCGCTGAACGTGTGGTTTGCGCTGGGGAAGTCAGCCCTTCACGGAGCTCCAAGTACGTTGGCGGTGTGTAGCGATCGTTGTATTGTAGCTTTGGATCCGTATCAGTCCTCGGCTGCGACGGTTGTGCATAAGCTGTGGCAGTCTCCAGTGCCTTTTTCTCTGCTCTGGTGTGCGACGGCCACCAGGGTGAGCATATTCCGGGAACCCCTCTGTGCAGCTGGGTGGTTTGCTTGACAGGGCTTCAAATGGACCTACTGCCTGGATGTAGTCACCGCTGCTATGTGGTTCTCCGGAGCTGCACAGAAGGCAGGGTATCGGGGGGGGGGCTCGTTAAGTGGCTCCAGAACACTTGGCAAATCTTGTCGAATTTGGCTTCAAAGATTTCTTGCCATGTCTGGACTATCATGCTTGTTTGTGACTGTCAAGCTTCCACAATGGCAGCCATCTTAGGTGCCCTATGCAGTCTCTGACTCAGTGGGGTTTGGGTCCAGCACTGCATGGATGTAGGTGTACCCAGTTGGGACCGGGATATCCCCCAATGGTCCAAAGGGGGGGTAATGGGTGGTAACAAGGCTGCTAGGACTCCGCTGTCAGGCTTGAGCCCAAAGTAGGGAGATCGACCGTCTCTCTCCCAACTGCTGTCAGCCTCAGTAGGCCGCAAGGTGGATCACAGTAGTCAGCTGCCGAGACACCCTGGAACAGGCTCAGTATATTGCAGTTTATATTAAAGATGATTCCCCGTTAGTGTAGTGCTATTTTTAGCAAGCTCTAGTGGGTTATTTTCCTGTTTTTTAGATCAGGCTAAAGGAATACATGTCCGGCCATCTTGGGTGTCAGGCCTCCCCTCTGATCCTTTCTTATGGAGAGATTGCTGAGTGTTTCGGTCAGAGGGCTTGGAAATCCTATAGCTCATTGAAAACTTCCACTTCACCAAGGATCGGAAGGGAGGAGCATGAGTATTGACTACTCAAACACCTAAATGGGAATAGAGCAAGTAATTGGGTATTGTGTGGTCACCATAGGGCCGTGGCACACACACGTACCTATCACATTACCTTTAATTGTCCAGGCTATAAAGAAGCCTGGGGATGCCCATATGGTGGAGAGGGACACTTCCAAAAGTTGCTCTTCTCTCCTTAGTGGTTTAAACTCCGCCCCCTTTTACGACATGGCATGCATGCGCCGACGTTTTGACGCTAATGATTTCATGGCCCGCCAAAACATTTGTATTAGAATGTTTTGGGAATATGACAATGTAATTAAAGCTACAAACTATAAAAAAGGCTTCAAAGGGCAAGGGTCATTGCTCTGTTGTGGTTCTAGTTGTGATTCCTAATAGTGCCTTTAAATTCTGTGTATTTCTGGTTTATTGATCTCGGCTATTCTGATTAGTCTCCTTTCTGTTATCCTGTGACTCGGCTAATGGTTCTTGCTTCCCTGATTTTTGGTTTCCCTGACTCCGGTAGTGTACTTTTCCCTTATGATTTCTGGTTTCCCTGACTCAGCTTGTCCCTGGCCATTCTCTATCTTATTAACGTAAGCCCATCCACACAAAGGACCGGTATACGTTAATACATCTATTACCATTTCCCCTCTGCATGTTGGGTCACTAGAATATTGTGACAATACCATGTTTTAGTTGAAAGACACTTGCGGACCAGCTCATATAACTCAATAGTTTTTCAAAGTTTTTTCCACCAAAACATGTGTATCTTGGTAATACATGAACTCCTCCAAAACCTTTCTTATTTTCATTTCTGTGGTTTAGTGTGTAGGGTTGGATCTGCCCTTTCTACATCTTTGATGCAAGGAGTTAAATAGTGAGCTAAGTGACATTGATAAAGTGAATTCATGCTAAGTGCTGATTTAGGCTTCAGTAAATGTATCATAATAGGTTATATTGACGCTAGAATAGTTTAGTAAGTACTTTGATAATTCTGAAAATTTTCAGACTTTTACAAATGTTTTTGTTATATTCTACACCATAAGAGGTAATGTTTAATGACAAAACTACTCTTTAACTTATCATCATTATTAAATAGGGCCTTGCCATCTATAGCAATGTTGAAATACTATTTGTTGGTGTAATTATGAAGTAGGTAACATTTTAGTCTAAAATTAGTTTACATTGTACAGTATAAGGACGGCTTATCAATGTCATATTGGTAATAGGATAAAACAGTTGTCTGGAATTACATAGTTTAGCTACTGAATCACACACTGATTTTTTTTGCATCAGTAATCAGTTAGGCTCATGGAATAAGGGAGGATTAACTAAGATTTTTTTTTTACTGTTTGCAAAACATACACCTAGGAATAAATGTATATATTTGTGTAAAATTTTTTTTTAACAGTCTTGTTAAATCTTTTGTGATCAATGACCTTAATCGGTTTAAAGTAAACCAATTGCTAAGGTATTGAAACTTTGTTAATACTCTTAATTAGCCTTATTATAGTGGTGTCTTCTTTTCTTTTTTGTTTAAACTATTTCTAATTTTACATGATTTGACATTTGTTACATCTTGTACTTTCTTTTCTTTGTCTTCTTCCCTTTGAACTATGTTTCGCGCTAATCATTATCATCACAGATACTAATTCTTTAGGATACCATCTACCCAACTGATACGTTGTTACAAGTTAAAGTCCCCTCCTAAAACATTAATTTTGTAGACAGTTTTTACTGAACCTTTTCCATCTCTCTTCACTTTTAATCTCTTATAATCAGTAATGTCAATCACTGTACTTTAATCGTAATTCAAAGGAACATTTTCGTACAGGACAAAAAAAAGTTATTTTATGTTTAATATAGATTCTTTTATCTTTAATAAAAGGTATACTTTATTTGGCATCCTAAAAATTGGCTGTCAAAAACACGTGCAAGGCACTACGATTTGGCTGGAACATTCCAAATATGTAATACCTATTTTCTAACTGGTGTTTGAATTTGTATTTATTTATTTTTTTCAACCTAAGGCTAGTGCACGTGTATTTATTTTTAAATTATTACAAAAACACAGTGCAGATATTTGAGGAATGCAGCAGCATGGCTTGTTGTGATATAACTGTAGTGTGGACTCTTAACAATGAGACACAGGGTGTTGTGTTCAGCGATTCTAGTTATAAATTAAGTTACAGTAAATGAGTTTGGTCTGTGCTGTAATCTCGAATCTCTGGACAAAATGTCTGAAATACAAAATTGAGGCCAATCTACGAATTGCTTGTTCAATGTGCAATATTCTAGGCATCTTTCAAGGTTAGAAAATTGTTATATTCAACAGCATAGTGGAACATAACTTATATCTGTTTTATTCCCATTAGTTTTCATTATTTATAGAAGTGTTTTTTAATATATATAAATAACTTCACTTCTGCATGAAACTTTGCTGCTAGATTTGAAAAAAGGTTGTAGGTACAGTAGTATCTAACCTATTTATTATTTATATTTGTAGTATATTGAGAATCTCAGAAAGGGGACTTTATAGAGACATGTTAAGGGTGGAGACTTATCCCCAAATCCTTTAGAATTTTTATAGGTTGCTGACATAAATCCCTGAACTTAATAGCATAATAAATTTCACATCAGCTCATAGCTCATCAGATTGAGGGTAAGACGGAACCTTGGCTCTCCGTTATATATATTAAACAGATTTTGCGACTAGCGTGTATATCAGAAGCAGGAATCCAAGAACGATCAGCAGGCCCATAACCCTTCCAATCAACTAAGTACTGAAAAGAACCACAAGTAAATCTGGAATCAATTATGGAGGAGACTTCGTACTCCTCCCGTCCAGCAATAACCAGAGGAGCAGGAGGGACAAAAGGGACAGTATACCTATTGCAGTTAAGAGGCTTAAGCAAAGATACATTAAATGAATTGGGTATACACAAGGAGGCAGGAAGTGCAAGAAAATATGAAACAGGATTGATTTTCCAAACAATACGAAAAGGACCAATAAACCTGGTTGCAAACTTCATACTAGGAAACTTGAGTCTGATATTTCGCGAGGAGAGCCATACCTGATCACCCACCCGGTAAACTGGGTTGGCACCACGCCGCTTATCAGCATGAAATTTGAAACCAGCAGCAGCAGTTTCAAGAGCCGTGCGGTCCTTAGTCCAAGTCTCACGTATGCATGTGAGATCCTCATCCAGAGCAGGAATAGCAGTGTTGGACAACACCGCAGGAAGAACAGTAGGAAGACGACCATTGTTGACAAAAAATGGACTATGTCCACATCAGTCATGGGTAGCATTATTCCTGGAAAATTGGTAAGTCAGGCCAGTTTTCCTGAGTGTCATTAATAAAACATTGCAAATATAGTTCCAAAGAGTTGTTGGCCTTCTCAGCCGCACCATTAGTTTGAGGATGGTTCCTGTAAGTTTTCTTGTAATTGTCCTATTTATTGTTACATCCCCCCTCTCAAAATATTGTAAAGCGCTACGGAATCTGTTGGCGCTATATAAATGATAATAATAATAATAATAATGAAGACGAAAATGATAATTCAATACCCAACTGTTTGTTAAATGCTCTCCAAAATCATGACACAAATTGGAAACCCCTGTCTGATAATTGTGTGGAATACCATGTAATGTGACAATTTCACGTATAAATATATGAACCAGCTCTTGGGAAGAAGGTAACTTTTTGAGCGGAACAAAGTGTGCCATTTTAGAAAAGTGATCAACCACCATTAGGATGGTGGTATAGCCTTTAGAAATTGGGAGTTCCACAATGAATTCCATAGACAAATGAGACCATGGGTATAGGAAGTTGTTGTAATAACCCACATGGTATTTAATGGGGAACCTTAGATAATGCAAAAACAGTAAAAGCCTCCACACACTCTCTGATGTCTTTTCTAAGAGAAGGATATCAAAATGATCTGGAGACAGTGGATACAGTTTTATTAATACCCGGATGTCCAGCTGTCACATTATCGTGGAACACTCTTAGTACCTCCTTTCTTCATAGCAATGGAATGAACAATCTATCGTGAGGTTTATTACTAGGTGCCTGAGACTGAGCCGCCATGATAGCACAAAGAAGAGGAGAAGACAAGGAAAGGACAGTAGAGGCAATGATACTCTCAGGTGGAATGATAGGAGAGGTCGTCAGCCTTAACGTTCTTAGGACCTGGTCTGTACGTGGTGATAAAGTTAAAGCGTGACAAGAACAATGACCATCTAGCTTGTCTAGAAGACAGCCTTTTAGCATCTCCAATAAATGCCAAGTTTTTGTGATCAGTTATGATCAGGAGAGGATGCTTGCAACCTTCCAAAAGATGTCGCCATTCTTTCAGAGCTAGTATAATGTCCAACAATTCTCTGTTACCAATATCATTCTTGAGTATTACCTTCAAAATGCGGGGGTGGAGATAACGTAATAGTAGGTGCCCTAAATATGATAGGTGTAGGTACAGTAGGTGGGGGTGTACCTGCCAAAGGGACCTCAGGCTGCAAATGAGGCGTATGCATTAGTAGCGTATTGAAAGCCTGGGCAAATTGATCCATACGGTGATCATTCTCCTCTATCTTTCTCTCACAAGTTACTATGTGCTGACACATATCTGCAGGATCCATGGCCCTGTCGTAATGTCAAAATTATATTGATCCAGCACGCAGAATAGTATCACATCCTAGAACTAAGGGTAATGCCTTACCTGGCCTTAGAATGGCTGGACTTAACGTACCCGAGAATAGTCAGAAAACTAGCCGAGGTCAGGAACACAGAATGATACACAGAGATAAGGAAGATCCAAGAGTCAAGGGTACCAGAAGTCAGGGAAGTTAAAAATAAGCCAAAGTCAAAATCCAGAAAAACACGATCAGGAACACACTCTTGGATAACCATCTAGGGGAAACCACAGCAGGAACAATAAATTAAGGGAATATGAGAGTTTAAATAACCCTTTTGCAGATCCTATTGGCCATGCCTAGCCCTTGAACGTATTTGCCTGCACATTGACGTCATCTTTACCGTGGATGGATGTAGGGCTATATAATTGCGTGGGTCTGCAGCGGCCGGCGTACACCGACATGCCGCAAAAGCCAGGCATGATAGCAGAAGACCGCCGAGCGGCACTCCCCTCTATCTTTGGAATGTAATTATCTTGGAGACGAAGAATGCGTGACAGTAAGTCAGTGATTGTGTCAGAATGACAGTGTGAGAGTCAGTGATTGTGTCAGAATTACCGTGTGTGAGTCAGTGATTGTGTCAGAATGACAGTGTGAGAGTCAGTGATTGTGTCAGAATTACCGTGTGTGAGTCAGTGATTGTGTCAGAATGACAGTGTGTGGGTCAGTGATGGTGTGAGTCAGTGATTGTGTCAGAATGACAGTGTGTGAGTCAGTGATTGTTTCAGAATGACAGTGTGAGAGTCAGTGATTGTGTCAGAATGACAGTGTGTGGGTCAGTGATGGTGTGAGTCAGTGATTATTTCAGAATGACAGTGTATGTGTCAGTGATTGTGAGAGTCGGTGATTGTGTCAGAATGACAGTGTGTACGTGTGTCAGTGATTGTGAAAGTTAGTTATTGTCTCAGAAGGACAGTGTGTGCGTGTGTCTGTGATTGTGAGAGTCAGTGATTGTGTCAGAATGACAGTGTGTGGGTCAGTGATTGTGTCAGATTGACGGTGTGTGGGTCAGTGATTGTGCCAGATTGACGATGTGTGGGTCAGTGGTTGTGTCAGAATGACAGTGTGTGAGTTAGTAATTGTGTCAGCATATCTCTAAAAAACACATTAACACACTGACATATTTTTTATTTCTGTCATTTCTCAATTGCTGTCTGCCTCCACTATTTATTTTGTGTTGTATTCAGAGTCTGGTCACAATTTGAAAGTACCTATAATACAACGACTCTCATCATTCTGTTGCCCTCTAACCATAAACTGATGCTTCCTTAAAAGCTCTGATTAGATCCCTGATTGTCACTAGACACACATTACTTACACCACATGTAAATGTACACAAAGACATTGTGGTCGGTTAATTTCGTAATCGTGGAATACCTTGTGATAGGAATTAAGTCGGCGTGGTGTGCCGGGACCAACGTAGGGGTAGGCCTGTAAAAGAGGGCCCCCCGAATGGATTGTATAAGTGGGTGAGGTGGGTGGGGTGAATAGCTTGCGTTATGGCAAGGTAGGAAGGGGGGAGTAGCGTTTATATAGGAACGGTAACTCCTCTCACAAATACAGGCCTTCGGCCTTAAACTTGTGGTCGGTTAATATCGTAATCGTGGAATACCTTGTTATAGGAATTAAGTCGGTGTGGTGTGCCGGGACATACGTAGAGGTAGGCCTGTAAAAGAGGGCAAAAGAAAATGCAAAAAACCCCACACTTATTGCAATATAATTATCTCATAAGATTTGTTTGCCTCATCTCTTATCCGTTGTGGAATGTTCCTGTATGACGTAGCTGATTCAAGTGAACCTAATTTATTATGTGCTGGCGTACTGCAACTGGATGTAGTACTTATTGAATAGAAGTCCTAAACATGAGTCAGGGTCCCAATCTAATCTAATGCAAGGGGATTATTTAGTAAATTGAGTGTCTTGACTGTCTGGATTGAATGTTGGCGTGACATGTGGTAGTGTCTGTATCTTCATAATCTTCCTTGAGAAGACATGATTGTCAGTCTGATTGGCAGTGATCGTGAAGTTCTAGGGCTCCATAGCCCTTGGAAAGTATGAAGGCGAAGAGGTATAAGACCGGGTTTGTGTGAAAGGATGTTGTCTAGGGAGTTGGATTCTGCCCTGAATTCCCGTCTATGGATGTCTGTTATTGAGGAGCGATGAACCAATTACTTATACCTTAATATCCTTATGTTTAAGAAGACTGGGTATGGTTAAAAGCTTGACCTAAACATGTTGTTGTATCTCTGATTGTTGTAGTGTATTTGTGTTGAATGAAAGTTGAATGAAAGGTGGCAAAAGTGGTATAAAATACTACAGTTCGAACGTTATGCTTGTGGATGTCACGTTTCTGTTGCATGTATGCCTAGTGACAGCAAGTAACATTAACGGTGATAACTTGTTGTCGTCCCAAGCCGGGCAACCGGGTGTTGACATTAAATCGGGTGTTCAGAAAAAGGATAGGGGGCACTCCCAAGACCTGCATTTTGTATGAAAGGTGCTGCCGCAGTGACCAAACTTCATACATAAAACAATAAATAGTTGCAGCGCACTCAGACTACAAAACAATATATAATACAAAGAAGGCTACTAAAATGCCTATCTGAGAATAAATATGGGGATTTAGTTCCACCATATGGCCATATGTTGTTAAGCCCACCACTACTTTCAAAGTACCCCAATATTGGTGGGTCCTACGCTAAAAATGTGGGGGAACAAATTAAATAGTACTAGTGTTGAAAATGACAAGTGTTAAATTAAATCCTGATAAGAGCACAGTGAGTATACAAAAATGAGTGATGAAAGCAATTAAAAACAGTGTTAAAACTAAACAAATAATGTGTTAGTGCTAAAAGGAGTATACTCACTATAGCAGATGATATCTGTGCTGACTAGAGAAAATAATAAAAGTGACTAGACTACTGAGAAACTCCTCCTATTTATACACACCTGTGGCCACCTCTAAAGGAGCCTCTGAAGTTGGGGGGCCTGGGCGGGGTGCTTAACCCCTAAGGAATCTGGTCTGGATTCCAAATATAATGTATACAGAAAAAGGATAGGGGGCACTCCCAAGACCTGCATTTTGTATGAAAGGTGCTGCCGCAGTGACCAAACTTCATACATAAAACAATAAATAGTTGCAGCGCACTCAGACTACAAAACAATATATAATACAAAGAAGGCTACTAAAATGCCTATCTGAGAATAAATATGGGGATTTAGTTCCACCATATGGCCATATGTTGTTAAGCCCACCACTACTTTCAAAGTACCCCAATATTGGTGGGTCCTACGCTAAAAATGTGGGGGAACAAATTAAATAGTACTAGTGTTGAAAATTACAAGTGTTAAATTAAATCCTGATAAGAGCATAGTGAGTATACAAAAATGAGTGATGAAAGCATGACGATATCATCTGCTATAGTGAGTATACTCTTTTTAGCACTAACACATTATTTGTTTAGTTTTAACACTGTTTTTAATTGCTTTCATCACTCATTTTTGTATACTCACTATGCTCTTATCAGGATTTAATTTAACACTTGTAATTTTCCCTTTTATTCCAGAAGTTTGGTCCTTAAGGGGTTAAAAAAGGAAAGGACAACCCTAAAATATAAGTGGCCTCTAAACAGTATCAGATTACGCTGAACATGTAGAAAAACAACTCAGTTGGTTGTACTAGTAGAAGATAGTAGGTAATATCTATTTGTGAATTCCGTCATATTGCATATAGATTATAACCATAGGTCCTAAGTGTGCTGAAGAGACTAAAAATAGTGACTCAATTCCCCTGGAAGGTTATCCTTGAAAATATTGTGCTAAAGTGTGGTAGGATTTAATGGATGACAATGGTGAAGGAATGAAAAGATTTAAGGGGGTCTAGGATGTTTATAACGAGATAGTGAGATGTTGGTACCGCATGACGAGTGGTAGTGTGGAGCCGTGCCTGACGAGGTAAGGCGAGAAATCAAGCCTCATATGTTAATAACCCCTTATAGTGATGTGTGGCCTTACAGGCAGTAAATAGAGATGTGAATTAGGATAGATTAGTACCTGAAAAGCACAGAACCTATGGGAGCAATGACCTGGTTGTAGTAAATACCCTTGCGAAATCTGTAATTGAGGTAGCATAAAAAAGGAGGAAAGAAACTTGTGTGATGTTTAATATAGTATATGTTTAAGTCCCCACCTCCAATTAGCAAACCATTAACGAAACGAGAGATCTGATTGTGTAATTACCAGCTATTTAGCCATGTAATCATTGTTACAACCATATTGACTCGGAACATAAAGCCGGTAAAGGAATAGTAAACCAAGTACACTTGCTCTGCTGGGCTGGCTGCTACGGCACCACATATACATCCTAACAATTGCCACATGGGAAAGCTCTGAAGCCCATAATAACTCACCCCTCCCAGGAGTTGAGGGTAGTATTGTTCCTTGCAAAATATCACTAAGATGATATGAAGAATAATATATTAGAACAATTAATATACAGTGCAATGTCAGCCATTGAATAGTGTTACTGGGATGCACCAATTGTAGATACACCTTTAACAAACCTGAAATCAGGACTTGATGGTACCCTCTTACACAAACAAACACACTGACTCATTAATGACAGCTTCCAGACGTGGTCCTTTTAAACTACTGCCACAGCTGGAACCTGTGTACTGAAAAGTGATACCCCCTAAGAACAAGTCCGCAAATAATTACATAGACATACAGTAATAGAAGTGAATAAACAATATAACAGATTCTGTCGAAAGGAACCTGCGACTACAGGTCTCAAGCGTTCGTATGACAGCCACTGAGTGAGCATGTATAGAGATGGCGCCCATAGTTCCTTATTTAGAAACCGTTATTCACACACTTATATAAAACACCTGCCACAAAATCACCAATCCAGGAAAAAAAAAGAAATAATTGACAGTCATGGACAGTAAATGCATGAATGTACAGGAGAATTGTAGAACGGAACCTGCTTGAGCATAATCGGATACCCATAAAATGAAAATGAATTAATACCATGTAACATATAATTTCTTGTGATTGCTGCTTCGTATGTTTGAACATGAATTGACTCAGATAGATATACCGAGCAGAATTTATACGAATTAATAAGAGAACGGATAATCTGCCGAATTAAACCTGTGATTTTGGTCTCATGTGTTCGTGTGTACAATTAAGGAGAAAAAGTCGGACAGCGGGAATAGCCCGAACGTGGCTATTCTCGCCGATTACCTGGTGAGTTTCGAGCGTCTGTGCGAACAAAGGCTGGCAGTGAGGCTGCGAGGAATGACGGGACCGGAAGCGCGCTGTTGAGGACCCGGAAGTTTGAGATGGAGGCGAGCAGGCCAGGTAAACAGCGGGCATTACGGCAAGGTAGGAAGGGGGGAGTAGCGTTTATATAGGAACGCTAACTCCTCCCACAAATACAGGCCTTCGGCCTTAAACTTGTCTAAAGAATTGGTCCCCCTATTGGCACCTTTGCATTTTGATGAAATACTGTACTCTTTGTGGGAGAATGCACTTTGGACAGACAAAACAAAAACAGAACTCGATGTTTACCAAAGAAGAACACCACCCCTACTGTGGAACATGGATGAGGCTCTGTAATGTTTTAGGTTTGCTTTGCTGCCTCTGGCTCCGAGTGCCTAGTATCTGTGTAGGGTGAATGAAATCAAAACACTGTCCAGGCTTTCTAGAATGAAGTCCCCAGTATCAAAAAGCTCTGGCTCAGTCACAGGTCATGGGTCTTCCAGCAGAATAATGACCTAAAACAGAACTCAAAAAGCACCCAAGAATGAAAATATTTAACTGTTTAGAGTACAGATTTGAGCATTTGTGGAAAGAGATGAAACTCGCAGTTGGTAAAAGGCTTCCATCAAACCTAAGAGAACTGGAGCAGTTTGCTCAAGAACCGCGCACCAAAATTCCATTTGAAAAATGTAGAAATCTTATTCAGAGCTAAAGTCATGTTGTTACACTGGGTGTACCAATCATGTTGTTTCAATAACAGCTAGTCCTTGAAAGTGCCCCATGAAATGTGATTTCATTTGGGATTTTGATGCAGACCAAATGTAAACATGATCAATTTTGCCATTTAGTCGACTGAACAGAGGCTACCTGATAATAATCAGTAGACCAAATCCCTATATTTTAACATCAGACATTGTGACAGATGCTGGTAGTCCTACTGGTATATATACACCTGCTTCTGTGTCACATTCAGTTTTAATATTGTCATTGAAATTGTAACTAACGGTACTTTAAAAACACTTCCTGTTGCCACAGTTTTTTTTTTCTTCAAAATTGGCATATTGGTACAAGTTGTACTTTTTGTTCCCTTATAGCTCTAATTAGTGCCAAACAGATTATGTCAAGTCTCTAAGAAACTGTTTTGAGTTGATAATAAAAGGACATACGTTAAATGTTTTAAAAGATGCTATTCAACAGCATTTATTCTGACAACCAGTGTAAGCTGAGAGCCAGCTTTTCTCAGAATAAATAATTGTGCACTAATTTAGAATAAGGTTCTAGGAATTTGGCCATTCGGTTTCCCAAAGCAACAAATTAAACAGGAACATAATTCGAACAGCAAATGCAGTTTATCGCTGCATAGAAATTAACATTTCAGAGTTGCCATTGCAAAAGAAATGTCAGGATTTGACAACAAATTGATACACTTCATGCATTTGCCTTTTTCCAATAATTCATTTAGTTTGGAGAAAATCATATTTAAATACCTAACATGTGAATATTGAATATGTGTATACCCAGACATTTATCACACACGGTTTGATTTATTATCGTTGTCAGAAGATAGACAAAGGACACAACAATGGTTACATTTAAAAATATATATCTTTCTTTTAACAATGAAGTGATAGTTTTCAAGCAGATATACCCCAAAGGGTGTCCTAGAACTCAGACTGGGAACAGAGACAAGCCAAGGTCAGGGATTACAGAAGTTGGGTCATGGACACACTACCTGCTTTTTCCATGTTGCTCATTGGAGTTATTAATTAAATTAGATCTAGTTGTAAAGGTTTAGATGTAGTGACCCGTCTATGGGCTAACAATGTTAAGGCCACTATGATAATGTGGAAAAAAAGGCGTCTTTCCATTTTTGTGCAACGTTGTGGAAAAATTAATAATAGGAATCTTTCAAGGTTGTTAGGGACCTCTATACCAATACAAGATCTAATTAAAAAGTGTACTTGTGCTAATACTGAGAAAGATTTGGACACTGCCACCATATATGTAGCATAGTCCTCCGTCCTCTCCCGCAACGCCAACATGCATGAGGCCAAGAAGAGTATACTTTAGACAACCTTACAGGGACCATATACCACCTGTAGAGGGTTTTCCTCAGAAGTTCCATGTGTGCTACATTCAGCGAGCTCCGATTTCTCTTTCACATTCCTATTCAACTAATGTGTGATCTAGTTTTGTCTCCCAAGCTTTTAGACAATGCATATTAGTTAGTAAAAATAGTCTTTGGAGGGTTTTATATGTTAAAGGACCACTATAGTGCCAGGAAAACATACTCGTTTTCCTGGCACTATAGTGCCCTGAGGGTGCCCCCACCCTCAGGGTCCCACTCCCGCCTGGCTCTGGAAAGGGGAAAGGGGTTAAAACTTACCTTTTCCAGCGCTGGGCGGGGAGCTCTCTGCCTCCTCTCCTCCTCCGTTCCTCCTCCTGGGCTGAATGCGCACGCGCGGCAAGAGCTGCGCGCGCATTCAGCCGGTCACATAGGAAAGCATTCATAATGTTTTCCTATGGACGCTTGCGTGCTCTCACTGTGAAAATCACAGTGAGAAGCACGCAAGCGCCTCTAGTGGCTGTCAATGAGACAGCCACTAGAGGATTAGGGGGAAGGCTTAACCCATTCATAAACATAGCAGTTTCTCTGAAACTGCTATGTTTATGAAAAAATGGGTTAACTCTAGCTGGACCTGGCACCCAGACCACTTCATTAAGCTGACGTGGTCTGGGTGCCTAGAGTGGTCCTTTAATTAAATAGATTTCTTGGGTGGAGTCGTTCCACTGCACATTTTTTCGAAGTTGCTGGCTTACAATAGTTTTTTTAGGTTAAGATTCGATATCCAACTCTGCAGCTGATCATAAGAGAAACTAGCTATTGGTGAAACATTATATGCATTGCTCAGTTTATTAAATAGTTTGATATCCCTACAAAATTGGTGTAAGACATAAATACCTGTTCGTCTCCATATTCTGTAATTGAAATATTTGATGAAGAGTCTGATGTATGGACTGGAGATTCTAGGGAGACTTGTTGGCACAGGAGATGTCTGTAGTTATCACACATCTGGATGGTGATGGTTGTTGTGGGTAGGCTAGTTGAAATAAAGGTTTTTTTGGATTTAGTAAGTCAAATCATCTCAGCCAATCTAGAACAGTCCAGTGTTCCTCAATGTAGACCCATTGTAGTTTCTCTAAACTAGAGTGAGCAGCTACTATGTTACTCAGTGTCGCTGCTGTTGAATGTTTGAGAGGCTCATGCCCCCATCTGCATCGGCGTATGTAAGACTGACATGGTTACACTTGGGCATCTCCCATGCCAGACAAACCTGCTGATCTTTCTAAGTAGGAGAGGGCGTAAAAGGTTTTGCAGTTTAGGGAGAATGGTCAACTTGATCAAAATAATTCCCCTTTCATCTTGATAGCAGTGATATTACTTATTTACTTGTTTTGAATTAATTCAATTGTTACAATTTGGTGCAAAAGTGAGGTGTCTAAAAATGTTAAGAAATCAGTTTTCCAGTCCAAGGAATAATTAGCTTTTAAAAGTAACAAATGATGTACCTCTAGGTGTACGCCCATCACTTGGGATTTGGTGACATTTGTAAGTGTAAATAAATAAATTGAGTTTGTACTGTTTTATACCAAATTAGATGCCATGTATATCCGCGTTCCTGGGGATCATAACAAGCAAATACAATTAGCCAGTTCTCCCTTCCCCATCACGAATGGGACCAGGCATTGGTGCCCTCCTGTCACCACTAACGCTAAAATGTAAAGGAGTGGTGACAGGGGGGCCCCGATGCCTGGTCCCATTCGTGATTGGGAAGGGAGAACTGGCTAATTGTATTTGCTCAATATGAGGGTAGTTTCCCTTATATTTCAGAACAAAGGTGTTGTTAGAAAGGAGCAGGAACATTAAGTGAGATTCACACTGTTATTAATGCCTCAATGCCCACATATGAACTGAGGGAATTTAAATCCAGATTTCCACAGAAAGCTAGGAGACCTTATACAATTGTTCATGAGAAGCACCACTTCATTGAACCCCATCCTCCTCTGATCCCCCCATTACTAGGGTTTACAGGGAAATCGTGTTTGTTTAATTTTTACATAATAATCCCCATTCATATTCTTATTTATTGTGTTTATGGTAGTGCTGCAGACGAGAGATGTATTTTAGATGTACACTGTATTTAGTGATACAAACTTACAAAACTACTACTGCAGGCTTACTACACTCTTCATACATCTGTGCATAAGCAGGAATGTCTCAAAATGTTGGCTTGCTTGACTACATGTCCCCGGGTTGTCCTAGGCTATTCACAATAAAAGTTATTTTAACTATCCTGGAGAAATTTGTTTTTGTAACACAGTTTGTTTATTTTTCAGGTTACATTGGAGATGACTAAGCAACAATTAACGGATGTTATGAAGAGACTGTCTCTAAATGCTCAGTTTGAGTCACAATTTGATTCTGCAGAGGTAGGAAAATTCACTGAAATGCAATAATACAGACATAGTTTTATTGTATTCTAATACAGGTGCAAATAAAACTCTAAACAAACTACCACCTTCAGATCATGAATTAGTGCGAAGGGACTAACTATTCCCTTTTGTAGTTGTCTTTACTTACTTATATTTTATATATGATATATGTGAGAGTGAGCAGGGCTTGGCCACCTTAAAGGACCACTATAGTGCCAGGAAAACATACTCGTTTTCCTGGCACTATAGTGCCCTGAGGGTGCTCCCACCCTCAGGGTCCCCCTCCCGCCGGGCTCTGGGGAGAGGAAAGGGGTTAAAATGTACCTTTCTCCAGCACCGGGCGGGGAGCTCTCCGCCTCCGATCCTCCTCCTCTCCTCCCTTTCGGCTGAATGCGCACGCGTGGCAAGAGCTGCGCGCGCATTCAGCCGGTCTCATAGGAAAGCATTTACAATGCTTTCCTATGGACGCTTGCGTGTTCTCACTGTGATTTTCACAGTGAGAAACACGCAAGCGCCTCTAGCGGCTGTCAATGAGGCAGCCACTAGAGGAGTTGAGGGCTGGATTAACCCATTTATAAACATAGCCGTTTCTCTGAAACTGCTATGTTTATAAAAAAATGGGTTAACCCTAGCTGGACCTGGCATCCAGACCACTTCATTAAGCTGAAGTGGTCTGAGTTCCTAGAGTGGTCCTTTAATACATATTGTTGTTGGTCACTAGTTATTTAATTTTTTAGTTTACTGTACCACTCATTAGTTCTGTACAGATCCATCAGAATAAATAATATTTTTTCAAGTGTAATTGTCCAGGAGACATTAGGTAAATTGGTGCTAACGAATACAGCAACTTTGGAGGTTATCAACTTGCAATAGTAAAAAAAACGTCATTAAAGATATTAAAAAAAGCCCATAAACTTACAGTGTTAGTGCAACACAAGCACCATGGTAAATTCCATTCACATCTCACATACGTTTTATAAGTTAGGTGGTAGCACTGCAGATGATGGAATTACTCAGGCAGATAGATTGGAGGTGGAATATTTAAGATATAGTTACTAGCAGTGAGAAAAATGACAAATTAATCATTTGTTACATGTGAGTTTACATAGGAAGAGGTTCTATTTCAACTGTCAAAAAAAAAAAGACAAATAAGTCAATGGGATCTGATGGAATACACCCAAATTTATTAAAATAGCTTAATGGTGTACTAGCAAAACCATTAACAGATTTATTGAACCAATCATTGTTAACAGGAGTAGTCCCAGAAGATTGGAAGTTAGCGAATGTTGTGCCCATTCACAAGAAAGGCAGTAGGGAGGAGTCGGCAGCTATAGGCCAGTAAGCCTTACTTCAGTAGTGGGGAAAGTAATAGAAACCATGTTAAAGGATAGGATTGTTGAACATCTAAAAACACATGGATTTCAAGATCAACATTGATCTTACTTCAGGGAGATCATGCCAAACTAATCTTATTGATTTTGTTTGATTTGGTAACTAAAATAATAGATCAGGGTGGTGCAGCAGACATTGCTTACCTAGATTTCAGTAAGGCTTTTGACACTGTTGCACATAGAAAGCTTATCAATAAACTGCCAGCTTTAAGTTTGCATTCCCATATTGTTGAATGGGTAAGGCAGTGGCTGAGTGACAGGCAACAGAGGGTTGTAGTCAATGGAGTATATTCGAAGCTTGGACTTGTCACCAGTGGGGTACCTTAGGGATACTTGGACCCATTCTCTTTAATATTTTTATTAGTGATATTGCAGAAGGCCTTGATGGTAAGGTATATCTTTTTGCTGATGATACTAAGATATGTAACAGGGTTGATGTTCCAGGAGGGATAAGCCAAATGGCAAATAATTTAGGTAAACTAGAAAAATGGTCAGAGGTGTGGCAACTGACATTTAATGTGAATAAGTGCAAGATAATGCATCTTGGATGTAAAAACCCAAGGGCAGAGTACAGAATATTTGATTGCGTCCTAACATAAGCATAAGGCTATCCTAACTATAAGATAAGGCCAGGGACTAATGAAAGTATTTAGAAAATTGGGCAGACTAGATGGGCCGAATGGTTCCTAAAAATATATAATTGACAGTGGAAAAAGATGATTGAGGGCTAGGGAACAGACACTAAATGCGAATTTTAGTCCTTGCAAAAATCCACACACACTTAATGGCTTAAATGTGAGTAATTGTACAGGTAAAAGTCCAGGGTTGATAAATAGCAACTATAGAAAAGTGGTTGCCCTCAAAGTCTTCCAAGTAAAAAAATCATTATTTTATATGAAGAGGAGGATCAACGCTTTAGTCCGCATTCAGGACTTTTGGGCTATTCTGATGAAAGTATTTAATTGAATGTGGATTGAGACATTGATCCTACTCTGCATATAAAATGTAGATCTACTTTACTTGGAAGACTGTGAGTGCAGCCACATTTCTATGCTTGATATATATATATATACTTGATATGTGAACCAAATGGTGGGGAAATACAAAATATATTTATAAAATGTTTATATTTTGAAGGACAATGATTAGCCTATTTTCTCTCTCTTTTTCATTTGTCTGGACGATATTTGGACAAGTCGAACCATTAACTAAGTGTTAGATGGTTAGAGTAAGCGTGTTAGAGGTCTTGTTGGCTTAGCCCAATTTTCTCACGATGCACAATTCTAAGAAAGCACAAAAACTGTTAAACAATTAACGAAACTGTAGGCATAAAAAGTCTCTCCACCTTCCATACCACTGTCAATTTAAAAGCTGAAAGAAGAAACAATATTAAGGGAGGGTATCTGATGCTGCCATAAATAATAGCCAGGAAAAGAAAATTACAGTAAGTATGATAACAATGGCAGCATCAGACTAAGGCAGAGCTACCCATAAGTGATGCTGCCATGATTAGCAAAGAAACTGCTTAATTTACAGAATTCATATACTAAACATTGATTTATGCTGAAATTACAAATACATTGCTAAATTTAGCAAAGAACAGAGCGTTGGGAAAATTAGCACATTTTGCTATTTTTTCAACAGGTGCTTTTGCTGATATTTTGAAATGCCTGCGGTCATAATATCTCACTTAGCTTCTAAGTAAACACACAAAAAAACAAAAGCAAAAAAAAATAACAGACAAAAGAAATATCACTACAGCAGATTTTAAACATATCAAGATCTTTTAAAAGAAACACATTTCTTATGTTTCGCTTGCATTTCTGTAAAGTCGAGTCCAAGTTGAGAAATAGGAACACATACAAAACCAGAGCATTAAAAACACAATAAATTAGGAACAAAGAGAAACAGACCCTGCGATACAAACAAATGGCCCAGTGTTCAGGGACAGCTGGATTAATATCATATAAACTTCAATTAAATTTCTAAAACAATGCTCAAATGAGCCCTCAGGAGAGATGGCAAGTTTCACCCAATTAATTGATTGTCCTGTGGTTCATGCTCTCCTCAAATGTTTAAAACACTTTTTTTTATGTTTGCTGGGAACAAACTGTCTCCAAATAAAATCCACAACACTGGTTCATAAAAGAAGGTATCATTTGATGTGCCAGTATGTGTTGTGCTTATGCAAATGTATTTGAAGGCATTAATTAAATTGTACAAGCACGCAGACTTTCTGTGCCTTAGGTACTCTGTGATACTAACCATGAGCAAAATAGATAATATAGCTGTACTTAATAAAGACAAGTTAGTAACATATAAAAGCAAGCATAAACATTCAGTAGTGTATATGAAATGTTTCAATAAATTGCTCATATTACTAAATTGTGGACTAATGCCCCCAAAATGTACTTTGTAAATAACATGAAAAATAAAAGCCATATGCAAGAGGAATTTTAGGTGACTTATTAATAACACGTTTTGCAACTAGAATGTAATTTAGAACAAGAACAGTTTTATTGAAGTTTAACCCCTTAAGGATCAATGCTCTTGTGAGATGCAATGCATTTTTGTCATGTTTGCCATACATTAATTCTACCATAATTTCACCATTTCCATACATATTATATACAATTTTTAAAGAAATAGGGCTTTTTTTAATAATACCTTTTCTTTTAATATACTATATGTAAAAAGATTATTTTTTTTCTCAGTTTTGCATTTAATAATGTCAACAAGTGCAACTAAGGAAAACTAACGCAAAAGAGATTCACTAATTAGTCCAGGTTTTTAAAATGTAGCAAAAAGAAACAGAGCAGAAATAAGATGAGATGTTGGGGCGCCAATACTGAGAGAACCTCCTAAATGGGGGATAACCCTTGTAGAATAAATAGCACAAAAAGAAAAGAATAGGAGGGTTACTGAGTATCAATAAATACATAATAATGAAAAAGATATATAAATAGTGATATAGGTGTAAGTGGAAAGATACCTAATTCAGTCAATATATGACTGAACAAAAAATGCAAATAAAGAAATTAAAGAAAACCTTTAATAAATACTAATATAAAAGGTGGAAAATGCCAAAAGTGAATAGGCACCCACTGACAAACAGACACACACATACATAAATGATAAACCACAAGGGGAGGATCTACTAAATGTAGAAAACTAACCTACCTATACTTATAATATACCTCACCACTTTACCTTATTTAGTAGTCCTACCCTTCCTACGCTTTATTTCCTTTATCTATTATTATTATTATTATTATTATTTTATTATTTATATAGCGCCAACAAATTCCGTAGCGCTGTACAATGGGTATATTATAAACATAGGTAGGTTAGTTTTTTTACATTTAGTAGATCCTCCCCTTGTGGTTTATCATTTATGTATGTGTGTGTCTGTTTGTCGGTATTTATGAAAGGTTTTATTTAATTTTTTTTATTTGCATTTTTGTTCAGTCATATATTGACTGAATTAGGTATCTTTCCACTTACACCTATATCACTATTTATATATCTTTTTAATTATTATATATTTTATTGATACTCAGTAACCCTCCTATTCTTTTCTTTTTGTGCTACAGATTTTAAAATGCCCAAATTGTCCAGGATTTCAATTATTTTTCAGAAGTTATAAAACAAATAGTGCATGTCCCGAATTATGGTTTTAAAGCTAAAACTCTGCAAAATTTGGTATTCTGAGTTTACACATTTTGTAGTAGTCACTGAATGCGAAACCACTACACAAAAGTGTATATCTGTAGAAAAAAAATAATTATTATAATGTCCCAGGCCTCTGACGAAGGTGCATATATACTGCACCGAAACACGCGTCAGGTTCTTTCCTATGGGGCAATTTTAACTTGCACACACATGGGCACTTCACTGAACTGTGTGATACACGTTTTTTTTATGATTTAAGTTTTTTCTTTCAATTTTTTTCTTCTATGCCTATTTAGTAAGTTTAACAGGGAGACAGGCTTTCTCTACTCTACTTTACTTTATCTGTCCTCCTTTTGATTATTAGCGCTGCTGATCCTCTAGACCAGGGGTTCCCGACCCAGTCCTCAAGTACCCCCTACCAGTCCTGGATTTAGGGATTACCATGTTGCTCTAGACAGTAACCTTTCTCCCTTTTAGCATTTTTACCAGTGCTCAGGAATTAAGGGTAGACGTTAAAGGGCCAGGACTAATTAAAGGGCCAGGACTAATTAAGCCTATATGTATAGTGCAGATTTAGGTGTTTAGCACTTCATCTCCTCACTTACTTACGCGTGGGAGTTTGTTATGATTTATGATTTACATTGTTTCTCCTATGCCTATCTAGTAAGTCTCACAAGGAGAGAGTCTTTCTTTCTTTCACTTTACTTTATCTGTCTGTCTACTTTTGATTATTAGGGCTGCCAATCTTTTAGACAGTGACATTTCTCCCTTTGGCAATTTTTCTGGTGCTTAGGTACTAAGTGGAGATTTACTAACATCTTATGCATTAAAGGGCCAGGACTAATAAAGCCTATATGAATATTGCAGAATTAGGTGTTTAGTAACTATATCTCCTCACTTACTTAGGCATAAGAGTAGCCTTATAATGCTAGTTCGGTATTTATTATTATTTTGATTCAGTTTATTTTTGTGTTGATGCTTTCTGTTACTTCAGATATTTAGTGGTCTCCCTCTGGTTACATTGTTCCATACCACTGGATGCTTTGGTGTCTACGTCTTTATCTCCAGTCAGCATTATATTCAGTTTGTGAATTTTTGCTTCTTTGTTTCTGCTGCAAGTATCTAGGGTTAAGCCCTTGGGCATTGCTGAAGTGCCGTCCTGATGCATGGGATCAGTGTGGAGGTCGTGTTTATTCCCCTTTACACCCATTTTCACACGGATCCCATTTCTTTCTATCTTTTCCCAGGTTATTTAACATTTTGACACTTTTTAAACCAGTTTATCATGAACCTGCACATTTTAGAGTGGCCTTTTATTGTGGCCAGCCTAAGGCACACCTGTGCAATAATCATGCTCTCTAATCAGCATCTTGATTTGCCACACCTGTGAGGTAGATGGATTATCTCATCAAAGGAGAAGTGCTCACTAACACAGATTTAGACAGATTAGTGAACAATATTTGAGAGGAATAGGCCTTTTGTGTACATAGAAAAAGCTGTTTGAGTTCAGCTCATGAAAAATGGGGCAAATACAAAAGTGTTGTATTTTTCAATTTTGTTCAGTATATATTTGCAACACCCTACACTCTTCTTTAGTGCTTAAACAAATATAAAATCTCCAAAATAAAATAAATGTCATCATGGGTAGAATATCCAGAAAACAAAAAAAAAATTCTATGAGTCTGTGATATGTAATTGACCCTGGCTTTTTTTTCCTTTAAAATCTGATTACATATTGAATGATCAAAAGCTTTCTCAAACACCAAGCAATGTATGGAGGATGGGTGCCCTGTAGTCATCATTTTTGGTTTCTCAGCTATGAAACCCAGGTCTATTCTTGGTCGCTTTGAAAATTTGGCAATACAGGAGACATGGGTTGGAATCTATTCTTACACGTGTTGGCGTTGGCTCACTATTAATCAAAACTGAGTGAAATCAGAGTGTGTTCAAAGCTGATGTGCAGACAGGAGGAAAAATGGATTAGAATGGAATGATCTGATATGAAACATATTGGAATAATGCTGGTTCATACTAATTCTTTTACCTAAAAGGGCACTTTATGCTGGAAATAACCCATTTAATGAAGTTTGACAAAGACATATTTAGTGTCAAAATGTTGGAGGAATCTTTGTGAGTGCTGTATACCATTACCTTATGTAACCTAGCATTGCTCATAATGTGCCTGGATTACTCATTTACTTCTCTCTGCAGACAGTGGGGAAGAATATGACAGACTAACAGACAGAAAGCAACACCAACAGAAAAGGGGGTATATCTGCTACAGATCTAAAACTAGCTATACCACAAAAAGTCCTGAATCCCACTAAGAAGTGTAGAGTTTTCACAACAGCCTAATACATCTAGCACACCAAGTCCCACAACGAAGGAAGAAGCCAAATGTTGCTAAAACTGTCTCACTATAAAATATTTGCAGCAAAGTTGTAGCTCTCAATATTTGAGACACAGCACAATCATTAAAGCGCCACAACCTATGTCAACTTTGTAATTGAATATACTCACATCTTTCCAGTGTCGTGCACCCCTGGAGCATTGAGTCACTGGCCCTCTGTGTTGATTATTACGTGATTGCAAGAGTCAACACAAAAAACACAAAAACAATACTTGACACATTGGCCAATTTTATGATTACTATGTGAATATATTTTGAAGGCTCAATAAGATGTCTTTGCAAGTGCTTTGGCATTTACCTGCCACATGAGATTAGCTCCACTGAGCTAAACAAACCAGGAACTTAGAAAACCAGCTATCTGCTGGTGTAACCAGATTAGTTTATAAAAGTGTCAACTTATATTGAAACCTGCACCTTTTTGAAATTGAAAATAGGAAGCAGTCTTCACTTATAAAGCTTTTCAGCAGTCTAAAGTGCTTTCGGGGTCCGGGGTGTCCCTGTAATGCTGTAATGCACAAATGTGAGCACTTAAACAAACAGAGTTAAATTATAGTGGAATGAGCAAAAATGTCAGATAACCTTGTTCACTAATATACAGCATCTTTAAAAAACCATTGGTCCTTAAGAGGCTCAAATTGACTTCAACGACCAATCGTTTTTAACTGAACCCAGTTCATGATAGCCTTCCATACCTACATAGATTCCATCAACTGCACATGGATTTTGGAGGGAAAAGGATAATACGATTCTATACTAATAAAGCTTGTGGTGAAATCTCTACAGTAAGGGTGCATAGAAAATCCCGACTTACCTATCATACCCATATACAATGCTTGCATATTTATTTTATGTAATAAAATATTGCTGCTTGTTTAAATTAAAATCTTTTCTTTTTTTCTCAGGTTCAAGATTATTTGAAAAAATCCAACCCATTACATTTTTAGGAATCTTGAAGATCACAAAGATTTTTTTTTGTGTGCTAAATATGTTTTTTTATCATACTTACAATAAAAATAAATGTTAACATATAAAAAACATAAAATTGCATAATTTCTAAAACTTTGTACAAAAAACGTATTGACTAGTAATTTTGTTAGTTCAAATGAGACCTGTTTTAATATTGGGGACAGAATCTCTGGGTGGTATCGTGGCTATTATCAGCCTTTACAGAAAAAGATGCTTCGAGATCTGTGACGAAGTTCCTGTACTCTGAATGAGTACCTCCTCCAGGTCAGCTTCCTCACTACTATCAGGGGACTATGGAGCTCTTCAGACCCAGTCGCTGAAATTTGACTGCAGTCTCTGAGGACTGTGTGCTCTTTGTTCAGTTTATAAAGCCTTTCTTGGGAAAATAATAGGTCTATGCAACCCAAGTGAGGTGCACCTCACACTGGGGAAGAGATGGACTGTGTTTTGTACAAATTTGCTTTCATCTCTTCACTACCAATGCCGTGTGGCTATTAGTGTGACACCTACCAACAAGTTTGGTTTCAGGATGCCATGCAAAATTCTATTGAAACAAGGCAAAATACTTATTTTCTCAAAATATTGTTTATTATAATTTTTATTGATGCATAAGTGTCATGTGTGCTGGTCTTCACCTGGTAGACAATCTAAGTTCTTAGTCCATGTTCTAGATCAGGCATAGGCAACCTTCAGCACTCCAGATGTTTTGGACTACACCTCCCATGATGCTTTGCCAGCTTTATGGGTGTAAGAGCATTATGGGGGATGTACTCCACAACATCTGGGGTGCCGAAGGTTGCCTACCCCTGTTCTAGATAGTTGCAATGCCTCATGCAGAAGGCATATATGATGTGGTCTCTCTTTGCAATGTACAGGAGCTTGCAAAATGGGAAATCAAGATGGCTCTGCGCACTTATATGCAAGCTGCAATGGCATTTTGCACTGCCCTTTAAATTTTGGGTTACTGTTTTTTTACCCTCCAAATATATTTGCTGCATGTGGCATTTTTGCCTATATTAATATGTTTCTGTGTCATCTGTTTTTGTCTAAAATGTGCATTTTCCTTGTCAATACATGACAGAGTTCCAGAGTTACCACCTTTTTTTTCACATGTGCACGCTGTACTATTTTGTGTGCATAGTTTAGTGGATTGTGCCCAGAAGATATTTAATTGTTTTGTGCACACAGAGTAATCAAATATATTTAACTTGTGTGCACTATCTACTAAAATAGTGCCCACAAGATAACTATCTCGTGGGTGCTTCTGTAAGCACCTGCCTCACTATCTGCTGCAGCAATCCCTGGCCGGCCTCTAACATAGCGACGTCTATTGCAATGGGTGCGACATCTTTTTGGAGCCCAGCCATTGGAAAGAGCATGCTGATGCAGCAAGGATTGAGGTAGGGGCTTACTTAAAGACCTGTTGCCTACGATAGTTATCTTGTGCGCATGATTTAGTAGATTGCGCACTTGCATTAACTATATATGTGCACAAAATAGTTCAAAGCATACATGAGTTACTTTCTCATGGGCATGACATACCAAGTTGTACAGAAATAGTACAGCATGTGCACAATGTAAATAAATAAATTAGGTGGCACCAATGGAGACCCATAATTCTCTACAATTCATAAATTAGTAAATAAACTCATTGGTTATTTCATGCAGTTGAACTAGGTATTTGCCTTGGGCAGCACTTTCTAGGGGGCGGCAAAATATGCCACCCTCAAACGCCCCCAAGGTTCCTCCTGTCATGGGGGGCCCTAGAACTGGCCGGCTTGCCACCTTATGGACACCCTGAGGCGGGCAGCTGTGAGTGCATCAGAGGCGGCAGGGGAGCTGTGATCTTCCTTCTATACTCCCTGGCACCGCGTGCGCAGTCTACTGATGCCAGGAGCCGGAGTGATGTCATGTTTCAGCTCCCTGCATTAGAAGACGGCCCGCGAGTGAGCATAGCAGGAGGATCACAGCTTCCTCGCCACCTGTGATGCACACACAGCCGCCCGCCTCACAGCAGCCTTACTGGACCCAAGGGGCAGATCCACTCCAGCTCTGTCCTGTGAGTGTGTGTTTATCAGTGAATGTGTGTGTGCGTGTGTGTGTTTCTGTCTGTCTTTGAGTGAGTGAGTGTCTGTCAGTGAGTGTGTGTCTGTCAGTGAAAGTGTATGTGTTTTGTCAGTTAATGTGTCTGTCAGTGCATGTGAATATAGGTCTGTCTGTGAGTATGTGTCTGTCAGTGAATGTATGTCTGTCTGTGAGTGTGTCTTAAGAGGAATGGGTGGGTCTTAATCAGGATTGCCCAGGTTTAGTTATGCCTAGGGCAGCGCAAAACCAAAATACACCACTGTTTATATTGAATGCTCTGGTTTTATATAGAAATATTATTTGCAGGAAAACATAAGAAGTGTTACTTTTCTTATTGGTTATCTTGACCTTTTCCAATGTATTGTGTCGCCTTATTAATGCTATGTGTAACGGATCCCCTGGCACCCCAACTGGGCACCTCCGTCAACGGATGCTTCCTAGCTGACGCCGAGGACTGTAAGCACCGCTCTGGACACCACAACCACCACAGACTCCACAACCGCCATAGCTTAACAGGAATCTCGCAGTCTTCCTTCCACCCTGGTTTAACCTCTGACATCCAGGACCGTGTGGGAGAGACCTCTCCTCCAGGAGAGCGTAACAGGAACAGCTCTTAAAAGAGATAAGCTATTAGAACCCAGGGGAGTATACAAAGTATAGCAATCCCCAGTGTGATTATAGCAGTTCCCCTCCAATCACGAGACAAGACTATGTGTTGAGGGTCAAGCAGGAACTCTAGGTTTAATGGGGCACACAGGCCTTTTATACAAGTTTTACAACAAAGGTGACACCCAGGTGGACCTAGTTGGGCACCAGAACACAAGATTAACAAGCCAATAGAAACAGAGTAACAATGAACGACACTCCCACATACATTACACAATCCCTCCCCTCTGCCTGTGATACAATTAAGGTAGATAATACAATAACCTAATTATCCACAGGCAGAAAAACACACATTTTCCCCAAAGTACAGAAAACACCCCAAAACATAACATATCCTCATAATTACATATTACATCCCCTGATAGCCCTGATCTGAGTGAATAACATATCCAAAAATCACCCAGATCAGAGCAGGGGTTCAGGAAATTCCTGGAAGTGTCTTTTGACCGACCGCACGCATGATTTCATGCCCAAAACAGTTCCAGAGAATCAGGGCTTGCAGACGGTCTTGTTCGGTAGTTTGCAAACGAACAAACAATAGAAAAAACTACTGAACTGAGTCAATAGTCTTACCCTGGAGCTTGTTCCCTTCATCCAGACGAATGATCTCACCGAACAGTGCCCTTGTAAGCTGAATAGAAAAAAAAAACAGGCGATGATGGAAGTCCAGTGTTGTTCGGGAGTTTATGTATCTTATTTTAGTTCCAGGAGATTTATGCCCAAACACCGCTGCCTGCATTCTTGTGAACAAGATGGCCGCCACCTCGTGGTTGTTCATAGGAATCGCAGCCACCCAGACGAACAATTAGAACACTGTGGTGAGAAACGTTCCAAGTTGTTAATAGGTGTTAACAAGCTTCAGGGTGGTCTATGTTTGTGCGGTTGTTCGGTAAACAAACCATATAGTCCCAATTGCACGAACAGAGCCTGTTTAAAGTATATTTACCAGTTCTATTGCAGAGGCCATAGTCACAGGGTAAAAGGCTGGCCATTAGTCCTCTCCAAAAACCAGTGGCGAAGTTGCTTTCATCACACTATGTAACTTCATTTTTTATACTATCATATCCTGTCCCTATATTGTGAGTTTTTTTCCATGTGACCTCCATTTGAACACCCCCTGCCCCCCTTAAATAGAAAAACAACTTGTATAGGACATATTTTAGACGATTCCGCTAAATCAGCTGTACTATTTTAATATGAAGATTAATATGAAGAATTCTATGCAGCATTATACAGCTTCTCTGTTACTCTATGTTCTGCCAAAGCAAATATTTCTATGTGAATTGCTAAACTAATATCAATTTTAGAAAATATTTTGCAATAAAAAAACAAGAAAATTTGATGTGAAGTATGAATGCTTAATAGACAAGCAAGAAGGAACATATTGAAAACTTGCAGGTCACAGAGGATTTGTCATGGCAAACATTTGCAGGATGATTGCCTTTGCTGCCATTAATATGAATACATTTCCCAATAAGTTAAGCAGGGACATGTTTATTGGGATCCAGTACTCAGAGAATTTATGGGGACAATACTTAAACCCTATTAGGGGTAAGATCTGCACATTTATCTGAGGGCAGTACAATTACAAGAAAGATAGTTTTTGTTACCGCCTCACACAATAGTGAAAGTGACACTGATACTGGAAAAATGCTTATACATTCAGAAGGATCAATTAAGTCTTTGTCTCCTTTTTCTATCAATATAATGAGTATACAATGAGTACAATTAAGATCATCGGTCAGTCTTCTTTGACCTGTGCATTTCTTTGGTTAAAAAAAGTCTTATGTCCCATTAAACTCTCACCTAGTTTTCATCTCTAAACCATTTACTGGAGACAAACGTACTAGTTTCTCTGTCCTTTTGGGATAGTCGAGTCCCACTATGATTCATGTTTACTACCTCCAACTGCAGCACTTTATTTGATGCTCCCTCGAAAGGAGGATCTTTATAGATCATTGATATCCTTTTTGTAACTCTGCTCTTCTAGTGAGAGTCTCCACAGAGGTATCTCTGAATTATACATGCTGTTTTTGTTAAGTAACCCACTGGCTAAGGTTCATATGTCACTGGGGAGTTGTTGGGGACTGTTTAAATGATCACTATAGGGTCAGGAACACAAACATGTATTCCTGACCCTATAGTGTTAACACCACCATCTAGCCCCCCTGTGCCCCTCATGCCTCCCTAAATATAGTACAAATCTTACTGTATTCAAGCCTGAAGCTGCTGGCTCTGCCCTG